TAGAAGAATGTGGGCAAATCACTATTATAAGCAACAGTAACAACAGAATATAGTAGCCATTACAAAAGATTCTAATATGTATATTAGAGAAGGCAGTAGCCTTACTATCAGTGACCCGGATATGCCATATGACCCAGAAGTGCCATAACTTTTTCTGTGGTTTGATCTTCCTGTCCGATTCCTTTGAAATTATAGACAGAGAGTCATGCATACCCTGATTTAATACTGTAAACGTTTGGGAAGCAAAGACGGCTCACTTGGATCCCAAGAAATTCAGGATTGCAAGACTGTATTTGGCTGGTGTCACACCTCGGCATCTCTCCAAGGTGTCCAATACAACTAAAAAAATCCGAAAAAATAGTGTATAGTACTCTGTATACTACAGAAACATTATCTGAGATGCCGCAGACAATTGAGCAAGACGTCGTGCTGCGGAACCAAAAGTGCCATATTATGGCACATCTGGGTTATCAATAGTATATAGAATTGAGGCTAAAAGAAATGCATGGCCTAATAGAGCAGTTGGTAGATTGTGTGTGCAGCATGTGCTTATGTAATCATGTGTCTGAAAGATCAGGGTTCAAGCCTGACTGAGTGCAAGTTGTTTTGTATAAGTTGTTATTGTATTACAATTCTCTCAGACTATTGTTAACAATAACTTTGACAATTGACAATGACTGGTGAGTAGTGAACAACACCTTGCCCAGTTACCTGGGCTATTGTTATACAAAAGTGAGAATCACAGCTAAGCTCAAAGCCAAAAGTTGTGGGCTTACTGCAACTCCTACCTCCTACCTGCCATGTCGAAGACCTAACCAATTGATGAAACTTCTGTGAATGATGCCCAGGATAATCTTGCGATAAGTGAGTGATTCTGCTCTCTATGTATGGAACTGTCACTCATACTATTATTACAGCTCATCACAAATTAAGCATTCCTTTCACCACAGGTCAACACCTAGCATTTACGAACTCCTTCTATAATCCAACAATTGTATCATACCTTCGCTGTTACTGACGTACCTACATCCTACAAAGATACTCGCTCGGAATCACAGATACGTCATAAATCCTATATCATATGTGTTGACATCATAAAGACTATCGAGATTAACAGATCACCCATATCTTGCCTCCTACCTCCTGTTACCTTCCTGCCCACACTGTTCCTTCCATTGATCCTGGGCATTCTACATCGAGAACATTCTTAATGGCATCTGACCACCTAGCAGATCATCCTCCCAGTTCTCACTGGTCATTCTTCGACTGTGTATCTATCACCAACACTTCCAGATTGATGAAAATCATCAGCGCATATGATATCATATCCCGATCAACGAATAATCTCCGACCATCTATGTGGCACACAATCAGCATAACACAGTACGATCAATATACTCGCTCCCCCTAGCTTCTACCTCCTGCCATCCGCTGTTGCCATTGTGGTTGTGCATCCACTACAGTTGTGATGCTTCATAATGCATACAGTACAATCCGGTATGATCTCATTTACTTATTCAAAATACTCATCCATCAATAGCGACTACAACTACCATTCTGACACCACTGTTATCTTGTGATTGAGATGGGCCATCCCTCCTAAACATGGGCGACTACTTTCAGTAAAGACTATGCCGATCGACGCGCAATGATTGATCAATTGACATCGAACATGCCCAATCCCTGTTGCCTATCGTCATTGATGGAACATGTTACCAATGGTATCTGTGCAAATCTCTTAGCTCTAGCTCTGTCCAATTAACATAACTAACGTCATCACGTCCCCATCACGACCTCGAGCTGAAACATCCAAACACTAATCCATTTCTTATTCTTCGCCTATGCGCTACCCAATTGTCTCACCCGGTAGCTGAAATGACTAAGAAACGTGCTTCGACTGATGAAACTGCTGATGAACACCTTGCCAAATGGTTTTTCCCACTTTTCCTCCTGTATGGACCATTGATATGCTCATCAACTTCAAACAGTTCCACTACTTGCACTTCAGGCATTGTGCCCTCATCTTTTGCTGATACATCTTCAGATACCATATCTGACATCGGAAACAATGTCAATGCCCCTCTGTCTGCTAGGACAGTAGTATCTATGATCCCTGTGATGGATGTAACAAAGAGGTGTGAACTTGCAAATCCTTTGACACATTACTTACTTATCACCATCCTCAGGCCATCCACGTCAGGTGGCAGTGGTTTATCTAACTATGTGAACAGTAAGTAATGTGTTCCAAATTCTATAGTCCATTTGTTCATACACTGATGATGCCATACGCAGTTCTGATCCCGTAAATGATACAATGGCAACAGCTAGCACCAGCGCCACCAGCGATGCTCCTACTTCATACATATTTCGATCATTCATGCTATTTTTCACCGACACTTATCCCATTATTTCTCAGTCCCGTTGTGATAGGAGTCATCACCAGTCGATGTGACTGAGAGTACAAACAGCCCTTATTACAGTTCGTTCACAATCCCATTTGCGAAAACCAATACACTAATTAAATCTAACAGAAGAATTCACAAGACGAGTGACTACTCCAACCCCACTAATGCTCATTTTGGTATTTGCCACATTCCCGATAATGTAAGGTGGGGGTCATTCGGGACTGAAGATGAGTTACACTTTCTTTGTTTCAATGGCAAAGGTGTTGCCGTCTGGCTCGTGGGCGAAATTTGCACTAACAATGTGCGGAGAAATTATATGCTTCCTCCTCATCTCAACATCACCATTTATCCCATAGTTGGCAGAGATGCAGAGGCTGCTGTCAACTTGCTGCATAAACACGGTTGCGAACCTGGCAGTCAGCGTAGTTGTTACTATTGGATCAATCACAACACTGAATTCTCTTTTGTAATAGGACAATCATTGCAAACAAACCCGATCTGGGTGAGCAAACACATGCAAAAGACTCTCAAAGGTGGCGAGAAACAGGTCAGTGAAATAAAATAAAATAAATAAAACCTTTTACGCACTCAATATCATTCTAGTCCACTCAGTTCAGATCCTGTTTCAATGCTACAAAATGACTCGCACCACAACACAAAATGACAATATGGCCAATTCATGAGATTGGCGAGAACAACCTCATCCTTTCCGAGTGTAATGTTTGCTGTTGGAGAGTCAACAGTGAAGGCAAACCCCTTTGGAACGGTGAATGGACCCACTGGCGAACCGGTTTTGAACTCGTCAGTGTCAATATGCTTAACATAGGACCGGAGATCGAGCATAAGGAAAGAGCAACCATGGATATTGATGTCTCCATATAAATCCCAATTTCATTCTACCAGACGATGTTTGATTCTCATCAAAATGGACGTATACTTCAGATTCCAATATTCCATTCGAAGTATGTACTTATATACCTCCAATTCTGGAAATTTTATCTGGAAATTTTATGTACAATGCCCAATGCGACCAAAGTGAAATTGGAGCCCGGCATGCAGATGCAGTGCCAACTCCCCACAAGTTTGGTGGTCGGCCCACCAGTGGTGAGAGTACTGGCAGTGGGCTAAGCACTGGCAAAAGTGGTGGTGGTCAGCCCACCACTGCCACAGTTAACATGCCATGCATCGGCCCGCCAATGGCATAGGCCAACATGGCGGCCATCGGCCCATGTCCACTGGGTACTCAGATACCGTTGTCCGACTCACACTGACAATGTCAGTGTTCACTGGGTAGTCAGATAGGATAACATGACTGAAAGGTGTGGGTCAGTAGCTATGATGTGGATCTGTATACATGAATCAAATTCATTGTACCATCTCGCAAGACGAGAATTGCCAATAGGAGTGACATTCTGTGATAGGCGTGATCTTTCTGTCCGGCAAAGCATTTTTCAGACCGAAAACATAGCATTTTTGAGGCTGATTTCAGCGGATTCTGAGAATAAACCTCTAGGGAAGTTTCCCGGGTCCTGTTGCTTCGCTACAGTACTGTAGTGAAATGACCTTAGGTTCACGGCCTGTGACCTGTGACATGTTTTCTTCCTCAGTTCACAGTTCACAGGGTTGGAGTGACCTGTGACCAAGTTCAGTTCAGAGGCGCCACAGGCGCCCGCCGACGGTCCACCATGCCTGATGCTGTGAGCGCCGGTGACATCCTCTTTCGCTTCCAGTTCACAGACATCCGTGACACACTACAAACCCTTAAGCGAGTTCAGTTCACAAGGCCTGTGACGCGTGACTGAACCTAAGGTCGTTTCACCACAGTAATAGTGAATTACAGCGCTTTGCAAGTATATGCGGAATCATCATCAATGGATTTTTGGTCTCAGGCGCCCCGAGCTTGCCCCGAGCCCAGGACCCCAAACTGTTGTAGTGGCACGTTACTACTGGAAGTCTAGCGGAGGATACCGGGAGGGCCATCGGTGACACGAATTTCCCAAAAGCAGTTGTCCGAGGCATGCCCAAAGCTTGTCTAAGCTCCTGCATTAGGATGCCGTAGAAAACCCACGTGGGGCAATTGGTTTGTGGTATCGCCCTATTTCTTACGGAGCTCAGACCGGTGAGACTGCGAAATGGGGCGAGAGAATTCTGGTGTATTCGTCGTTCTCGGCCTACTTAAATACTCGTACAGTACAATCGGTCTGAGTCAGTACCGAGATAAGTGTAGTCAGCGAGAGACAAGCCGAGCCGTGGGATCGATGCTACGTAGAGTCAGAATCTCGATGGGAATAAGGACGAGTCATCATACATAGCGGGTGACTTGTCAGAGGGTCAGGAAGTGACGAAATCATATGACTAGGAATAGGGGAACTGAGTCGAGAATATGTCGTACAAGATCTCCTCAAAATGAAACGGAGACATACCATTTTCGGAAGGGACACAACAAGACCAAACCGAACACGTCGTCGGGCCCAACACCATCCCCTCGTACAAGAATCTTGCTCCGGCAAGATAAACGACGAATACTGACAACCAAGGAGACAGAAGACAATAAGAGAAGGTAGGTCATGCGTCAAAAGAGCTGACACCATTTTTTTAGGCATCGCGAGAGGTGCCAGCGCGACCGAGACTGGTGTCGAGTCGGCGTTGCATTCGCGCTCGGGCGTCGCGACGCTGAAGGTCGGCAGAGGAGTACCATAACTCGGGATCCATATTCGACGGGTGATAACGTTTCAAACGGGCAGCATTGTACAAGGTACGAAGGATGTAGCCGTTTCGTGTGCGGAGCTGATAAACGTTCCGGTCAGTGACATCGTGAACGATGAAGGGTCCGTCCCAGCGCGGATGGAGTTTCGTCGGGTTTTCCGAACGTCGAAGGACATAATCGCCAATCCCGAGCGCGCGTTCGTGGTAAGTACCCTCACGGCGGCGCGCCTCGTCCTGCAAGCGGCGCAAGGCGCGCGTGTTCGCCTCGGTTCGGAACCTCTCAAGGTTTTGAACATGCTCGAGACGACAGTTTTGCAACGTCGCGATCTCCGCGTCGGTCGGTGGCGCCCGAAGAAGGTCGTAAGTCGTTTCATGCGGAAGACGGGGCTGACGACCAAACGCAAGGAAGAAAGGTGACGCGCCATGGCTCCGACTGACGTGCGCGCGCTGCGCAAGAAGTGCATCTGGTAAGTATTGATCCCATTCGTCCTGTCGGTTGGGAGCCGTATAACGCGCTAACGTCTGTACCAGCATATCGTTAAACTTCTCGAGGCGGCCATTCATCTGCGGATGGTATGGCGAGGTGTGTAAGTGCTGAATTCCTAATCGCTGAAGATAATTCTGAAAAGGATATGACAGAAATTCCTCTCCATTATCCGTGAGGACGGTGGAAGGCTTCCCATGGGTCGTGATAAGGCGGCGCAGCAATGCGATGACAGCAATATGAGAACGGCGTGGAATTGCAGTCGCGTAGGCAAAATCGGTGCCGTGATCCATGGCGGTAAGAATATACTCATTTCCTTCTTTCGATTTCACGAGGGGACCTATAAAGTCGAAAGCCCAATGATCAAAGGCATCCGTACGAGGAAGTGGGTGCAACGGCTGGGCAGGTGGAGCCTCGCGCTGCGTGAACTGGCAAGCATCGCAGCGACGGATAACGAATTCGACTAACTCAGTGACAATTGGCAGCCATACGCGCGACTTCAATGCTTCCGCAACTGCACGAACACCGAGATGTCCGAGGTCGGTGTGTACCTCCCGAATGACCCGCAAGGCCTCGTCAAGGTTCACCGGAACTGGCAAGAAGACTTCGCCCTGACCAAGGTCAACAGAGTGAAAGAGTGCACCATCGCGGACGAGGAAGCCACGACGACTCGGCTCAGCACTAGTATCTCGAAGTAAGTCTTCTCTCCATTTCTTCAAAGTCTCGAAAAGTGCTGACCTATCATGGTCCACTGCTGGCTCCATCGGGTTCGCAAACAATGGGCCAGAGGCCTCGTAGTCTGGAACATCAGCTTGGCCATCATGACGGGACAATGCATCAGCGGCAAGCTGATTACGACCGGGGCGGTACCGGATTAGCACATCAAAGTGTGCGATGTTGTCGGCGAAACGGGCAAGACGGCGACCCAAATGTTTCTGCGACAAGAAGTACTTCAAAGATTCATGGTCGGAACGCACAACAACAGGTGAGCCTTCAACGTAGCTTCACCATTTCTGCAAACAGTGATCAATTGCAAGCATTTCGCGCTCCTGCGCGGAGTACCGCTGCTCAGTCGGGGTCATACGACGTGATTCAAAAGCAATCGGCCGAAGATCAGACTCCTTGAACGCGAAGCGTGAGCAATCTCCCTCCCCCTTGGGAAAATCATTTTGCGATTGATGGAGGATACCACCAATAGCATGGCCCGAAGCATCAACATCGAGAACGAAGAGACGCCAAGGTGACGGGTAACTGAGAAGAGGAGCAGAGGTAAGTCGCGATTTCAAAGCGACAAAAGCCTGTTCGCAAGGGGCTGACCATTTAATTTCAGCACGCTTCCGGGGATTGCCCTTTAATAAATCGTACATCGGCCCAGCAATCTTCGCAAACCCTTTCATGAAACGGCGGTAGTAGCCAGTAAGATTGAGGAAACCGCGAAGACGAGTAACATTATCGGGACGTGGCCATTCAGTGATGGCCTGGACTTTCTCTGGATTCGGACGGACACCGGCAATAGAAACAATGTGCCCGAGATAAGTCAACTCAGTTTGAACCCACTGACATTTGTCCTCGTGTAGGATCAGACCCTGGTGATCAAGACGGGTGAGGACCCAGTCGACATCAGCGAGATGCTGCGGAAGGTTCGGTGAGTAGATGATGATGTCATCAAGGTAGACCATTACGCAGCGATCAAGACGCGAACGAAGGAGGTCATTCATAAAGTTCTGGAAAGTCGCAGGTGCATTGCAGAGGCCGAGAGGCATAACACGAAACTGATAGTGGCCGAAACGCGTAGCAAACGCGGTCAGCGGGCGTGATGCAGCACTGAGTGGGATCTGCCAGTAACCGGATCGCAAGTCAAGGGTCGTGAAGAAACGCGCGCCACGAAGATTTTGATAGGAATCATCGATACGAGGAAGAGGGTAAGCATTCCGTACAGTGAAGTTATTAAGCTGACGGAAATCAACACATACCCGCATTTTCCCGTCCTTCTTCCGAATGAGAATCAATGGCGCGGACCACGGAGACTTGCTCGGTTCAATAATTCCATCCCGCAGACCTTCGTCAACAAACTTCTGAACCTCCTCGTGCTCCGGTGGCGATAAAGGACGCCCATGCGCACGAATTGGTCGTGTTCCAGTCACATCGATGACATGTTCACATCGACCTGCCGGTGGTGCACCAAGCTTCGTACGAAATAACCGTGGAAACTTTGCCTTCATACGCGCATGCAAGCGTGCACCAAACGATTTGATCTTCGCTAGTGGGGATTTGTGGCCAGAGGTTTCCTGCGGAGACTCAGTTACAGGTTCTTCAGCTAACAAGTACAACTCCAATGGGGCAGCTACAAGAGAAGCCCAACGGTTTGATGCAGCGGCTCCAGCGACGCGCGGCAGGGGAAGAGGCTGCTGTACAGTCATGGCATGCAGCCGTACAACCTGACAAGTACGCGGATCCGTCAAGAACCAAGAGCGCGTAGCCCAATCAGGCTGCGCATTATACTTCTGCAGCCATTCTTGGCCGATAACCATGTCGAAGCGCAGTGTATCGGTGTCCAAGATGAATGCGCAAATCGGCTTCTGCCAACCCCCGATTTTGATGGCGAAATGAGCCCAAGCTGACGTGGTAGTGGCACCCGCACCGCGAACAGAATGAGCCGTCATAGGGTACGTCGTAAGATTAGCCCTTCTGACAACTGACGGCTTGATATAGCAGTAGGCGGCACCAGTATCAATAATGGCCGACGCGAGCTGAAGAGGCTTCGCATTGACACTGGGAGCGAGCTGGACAGCATAGGTGGGCAATAAATGAGGTTCAGGTGCATCATCGGATAGATCAAGCACTGATAACTCCAACGGTTCTTCGCAGCAATCAGTGAACAGCGGGGGCTCGCTTCCCTCGAAGAGGTTCAACTCCTGCGGAGGACGACGTTTCCGAGGTAAGCGACAATTTCGGCTATAATGGCCAAGGCCATTGCAGTTAAAGCAACGTACACGGCTAACCCGATCCTTCGTCTTCAGTGGCGGCGGCTGTTCCATCGCATCAAGGTCCATCGGAACTGGACCAGTAGATGGTGATGAAGACGTAGGAGGAGCCGAAGGTGAGGATGATGCGGCAGACGGAGAAGACGAAGATGATGAAAAAAGACGGTGAGTAAACCCTTTCGTCTTCTTGCGGAAACCGTTTGTGTTGTTCTGATGCTGCGCAGGGACATGATGAAGGTTTGAGAGGCGTTCAATCTCGCGCGCCAAAAAATACATCTCCTCGACATTCTTCGGCTTGTCGCGGCGGATGTCCTTCGCAAACTCGACTGGAAGACGGCTGAGAAAATTCGACAAGCGGTCACCAAATGTCATGTCAACCTCAGGAATCTGAGTCTCGAGGTCACGGAAAGCGGCAGCATATCGAGTAAGGTTCCCTTTCCAAGGAACAGAACGCAGCTCATTGCGCAGAGTCTCAACACGCAACGGCGTATCGAACTTGTCTGTCAGAGCCTTTCGCAACTCTGCCCAGGTAAAGCCGCGCCCGATCTTCTTCTTCTGTGCAACGTACCAATGCTGAGCCTCACCACGGAACAGCATCGGGACTTGTAACGGCCAATCCACCTCGGGAATGTGCTGACCTCGGAGGTAATCCTCGATCAATGTCAGCCAAGCACCAAGATCGTCGCTATCCTTGCCGTGGAAATGTGCGAGGTCGACCTTGAATTGGCCGGGACGCACGGAAACAGGTGGCGGAGGAGGAGCAGGCGGGAGAGTAAAATGTGCCGGAGGGAGATTGAATTGGGTGTTCGCAAAACCGTGTTCGAGGGCAATGCGGATATCGTCGGCAGAAAGGGCTGGGGCCTGAGCGTGAGTAACGCGGTGGTCAAGATCACGAAGGATTGCCTCGAGAGCGTGATAGATGTCCTCGGGAAGGCCAGCAGCAAGCGCGGCGAGCTGAGCCTGAGGATCCATAGCGGCGCACTTAGTACGAAATAGGAAGGTGTAGTACTACAATAAACGGCGTACCACTGAGTGCGAAGGGGGGGTGAACGTCAACGGGAGAACAGCGACGTCAAGAACAGTGTCGACAGAAAGATATTAGCTGAGGAGAGTGAAGCTCGATCAACGGCGAGAGTCCTGTCTCGAAGTATGAGGCTGCTGCAGGTAACCCCACACTTGATCAAGTGTGGTATCGCCCTATTTCTTACGGAGCTCAGACCGGTGAGACTGCGAAACGGGGCGAGAGAATTCTGGTGTATTCGTCGTTCTCGGCCTACTTAAATACTCGTACAGTACAATCGGTCTGAGTCAGTACCGAGATAAGTGTAGTCAGCGAGAGACAAGCCGAGCCGTGGGATCGATGCTACGTAGAGTCAGAATCTCGATGGGAATAAGGACGAGTCGTCATACGTAGCGGGTGACTTGTCAGAGGGTCAGGAAGTGACGAAATCATATGACTAGGAATAGGGGAACTGAGTCGAGAATATGTCGTACAAGATCTCCTCAAAATGAAACGGAGACATACCATTTTCGGAAGGGACACAACAAGACCAAACCGAACACGTCGTCGGGCCCAACAGGTTGATGAGACACTCTGGGCATGGTCTCTCTGGTTTTGGCTAGGCTCGGACTCTCGGACCTGATCAATTGGGCAATTTACCGGTGGCTGCAGTGGCTGAGCGGTTTCGGGTCCTGAGCTCGGCGCAAAATCCATCGACGACGATTCCGCATATACTTGCAAAGCGCTGTAACTAAACGCGTGGAACAATTCATTTGTTCACATTTACGGCGATCAGAGCTTCCCGGCGATGCAAATGCAAACGAAGATCTCCCTCGGGAACCACTGTGTTACCATACCAGAAGACGGTGCTGAACGTGAGGCGACATAGGTGCCGGATAAGGCTTCAATACGCCGGCCGCAAACACTGGTGCATCCCAGTATCTGCATCGTTGCGCTTCGCCTGCATTCAAACCAGCTCCTGACACGATACACACATGGAGATAGTGGTTCTGCACGGAGCGACAGTTCCGCATATCTCCTAGGAATAGCATTGAATGCGAATGGACATGAGCGGCGAAGCGTTGGGGGGTAACTACGATAGAGTTCGTGCTTGCTTGGGCGGCTTCCACGGGCAGTGTCCACGGAATGATCACAGCCCTATGAGAATGTTAAGAGGACAAACCTGAGCACAATGCAGCAAAGAGACATGCGCTGGGCAGGTCGAGCACGGGGATTAGTCTATTCAGAAATCCGGTTTATGCTGAAACCCCCCCTGCTTTTGGTAATTTCGTGATGGCTCTGAAAAAAGTCGAAGACGCTCACCTGTCAATATTTAAGAGCGGTCTCCTGGGTCCGCCGTCGAGCTCGGTGAGGGCGCACGCATTGGCGGGGTACTAACGTGGGCCGGTGTACCCATTGTCGTTCATCGGGTGCCGCTCATCGCCTACCACGTCGAGTAGTGGTGTCCCATCATTGTAAAGGTGAGCTGAAAAAGCTTTGTATAAGTGGGCATCATGTCGTACAAAGCCAAAGAGATGGTACACACCTAAATTCGACGACCGGCCATGGCTCATCTTCTCCAATGACGACTCCGACGCGGTCCACCCTGTGCGACACGGTGAGCAACGAAGTCGGTGTCAGTGGTTGATCCCGTCGTTGGCGCCCATTGACATTTCTTCGATGGTGTTTCCGTCTTCGCATTTTTCTCTTCAGCAGTTCCGGGGGAAGGGGGTTTATTTTCCCCCGGGGAGGTTCTGAATAGACTCATCCCGAGCACGGCTGGACTGAGGGGCTGTTGACCGGTGTACCGCTGTGAATGTCTGCATGAGCACACATCTAGAACGCGTGGCATAGACGTGGACACAAATGGCTATAACGATGAGAGAAGGTGCATTCAGCTAGAAGCCGCGCGCCACACAGGGATCACCCCTTATTTCTGTTTCAGCCACCGCGAGCGCATTCAGAAGCACACTGCATACCGCGTTGCTCTCCGCACGAAAACGAATTGCGTGCATTTCCTTCGCAAGTTCTCCGGCCGTCCGAGGGGGGTCTGGTAAACAAGGTTAGACAGATTAGCTTTTGTAACCGGCACAGATGAATGACCTTGACCTCGGCGGTGCCGCACCTCGGGACCGTCAATATGCTTCCAGTCTTACTGGGAAGTGCAGAGAATGTAGTGAAAGCTTGTGATATTTCTGCACCGTCGGAGTCCTCCCAGAGATCAGAGGGAAATTCCAAGATTTGGAGTCAATCTGAAATGCTTGGGAGAAAAATACGCGGTTAAGGAACCATGTCCTGTCCATCTTCGAGGTTGGAAATTGGAATCGCCATGGCACAGCTGGCACAGCACGGAGTCGTCAGAATATGTTTTACAACGTCCACGTGGTGAGGAAGAGAAGCACTCGCAGTCTCATCTCGTCCGCAGCAATCATGTCCTCGACTGTCAAGCTTTCATGCATCCAGAATGCTTTCTATCGTGAGCACGGTTGGGATGGTGATCGCTGGCTACAGACATCCGTCAGACACCCGAAGAAAAGGATGTATAACAACGCGAATTATACAGATATATATTGGACGCGCGTGGGTAATCAGGGCAGATGAAAGTCCGCGTCGTCTGGGTCTATGGAGAGGAATGCTTCGTAGAGGTAACTTATGCCGAAGATTAGGAAGAGTGCGCTTCCGGCAAGTGTCACTGTGTAAAGGAAAGTCAAGACAGCGCTCTCCAACGACAACCCAATACCGACCGTGCTTCACAGAGACTTTCGTGGAAACGTATCGGCCGGCTGTGACTGCGACCGCCGTACAACATGAATGGCCGATGATAGTTCCCAGTGCCACCAGGTATACATTCTGCAAAATTGTCATCAACACGCTATGCCACTGAGCTTCCAGAGGACTGGGGCTGACATGTGCCGCAGCTAGGCCGATGGTAGCTATCTGACTGCGGTCCCCCCACTCGCCGAGGAAGGTCAACACGAACGCCTGCACAAACACCGGCCCGAGGAAAAGGCTGAAAAAATTGCGGGTCGCCTCCTTGAGCGCCTTCGTCTGCGGCGGACGCGCAGGTCTTGCACTGCCATTCGACTCCCTCTGAGGCCTGCCGCCCTCCTCGACCGCCTCCAGAGGTACCACGTCTCCGTCGTGCCCGGCCTCGTCGAGCTCGATTTCCTCCTCCGCTTCCTTCATCTCCTCGCGCATTTTGTCGCTGCCACCCTGCATCGCACGGCCTTCCTGGAGCATACGCGCACCAAATACGAAGAACATGAGCGCGGCGCACGCCTGTGTCCACTTGCGCGGGATGAGCGTCGGCAGGACATGCCCGAGCGCGGCGGAGAGTATGGACATGACGACGAGCGAGGCGAAGGCACCGGCAAAGACAACGAGGCGCGGCTGGCGCATTGCGAGGATGGCGGCGATGAGGAAAGTCTTGTCACCGACCTCGGAGACGATGATCATGGCGAAGGCGCGCATGAGCGCATATAGGGCACCGTCGAGGTCCGGTGCGTCATCGGTGGCGGCCATACAATGTTCAATTAAGCCTGCGAGATGTGAGAATATGCTCAGAATTTGCTCACATGAAAACACACCTCTTAAAAAACAAAGGACGAGCCAGAGCCAGAGACAGAGACAGAGACAGAGGCAGAGAGGGTGGACAAGTCTAAGAGGTCGGCGCAGTACAGTATGTACAAGCCTGCCAGTGCCAAGTCTCTTCCACCAAAGTGGTGCGCGTGCCACGTGATCATGGAACGAACCAATCTCGTCACTGCCATTACGGACGCGTCTCGCGATATACTTATTCACTTGAATTGAAGAGCTTTCTCAGCTGGCTCTCTCCAGCTGTCTGGATGTCAAGGTGATCGCAACTAGGGTCTAAGTCTCAGGCACCCCGACATGAGGCGTGTCTTGGGCTGCACTACCCGGGTCGAAGTTCTCTGACTCTGTCGTAACGTTAACGTCCGTTCACTATCCATTAGGTGATAGGAAAGCCATCCATTTTATTCAAAGATAACTTAGCGAAAGGGACAAGACGTTCGGTTGGAACGTTCTGCACTAATTATCTAGCAGCGTGCCCCACTGAACGGACGTACTGCCTCAGCTGAATTAACTACTAGGGTTTAAAATTTACGAACAAGGTCGAGCGAGGACAGAAACAGGACTCTCCTCAAAAATTGCGTCCTGAGATTCATTGCATATATCGAGTGAGCGTCAGCACCAAGCGGACACTAACGAAACATCACTCAGTCTCTCTGCGCGATTTGATTGATATTCAGTCTCGCATCGCTGCCACACGACACAGACGACACTGCGTCCAACAGAGCCTTGGAGAGGTATGGGAGCCTCATAGGGTGACCAGAGAGAGATGGCTGTGGATCCCGTACGTGTCTTGTTCAGCCCTTATTCACATAAATTCCAGCGACGCGAAATTTTGCTCATCATCGCGAGCTGCAGCAAGTACATAGGAAATACTCACATATATGGTGCCTTCTTCCATGACTTACGACCTCTGAGATGGATTCTGGTATTACATTCAGCCTCTTAAAGGCAGACTCTCAGGCTGCTTCGACCGTCGTTCCTCAGGATGACCGTGTCTGGATCACATCGCCCAAAGGTTATAACGAGAAATTCCTGCAGTTTAAATTTTACGTATATACCTCTTCCTGCAAGTGGCAGCGATGGACGAGGAGGATGCAACACACCTCACTGTGCATTGCGAGCGCGTCCGACGCGTCGCGTCGACGCGTTGTGCACGTGAATATCAGCGTGGCCGGTGCCGGCGGGATTTTTGAGCGACGCGCTCGGGCTGCGGTAGACGAGCCCGAATCTCACGCCTACTCATGGTCACCTGCTCCCCACCATCCCCGTTTCACTTATACCCGTCGAGCTAACGTCGACCGACGTCGCTGCTTGATCCCCGCCAAACGATGGCTGCCTACGTTGCACCTGTAGTGCCCTCGACCGCCGTCTTCAAAGACGGTCTCTTCGACGGCAAGGTCCTCTTCTGCACCGGCGGCGGGTCTGGGATATGCAAAGCGATGACTGAGGCCGTGGTGCGTGTTCCTCTTGCCCGTCGCGCCTTCGTGTGATTCAGAACCTCAATTAGATGCGACACGGTGCCAACGCGACCATCGTCGGGCGCAAGTGCGTGCTTCTTTCCTACCGCTGACGCGACTCGAACCGAACATCGCACAGACTTGACCGCCTGACCGCCTCAGCAGCGGAGCTCGCGAAGGCTACCGGACGAGAGTGTCTCCCCGCCCAGGCAGACGTCAGAGACCCAAAGCAGGTGCACGACGCGGTCGCGAAGACGATCGCCAAGTTCGGGCGCATCGACTATGTCATCTGCGGTGAGTGTCTCTCGCACACTTGCGCGTGCTTGCAGCGATTGAGCACACGGGCAGGTGCTGCCGGAAACTTCCTCGCTCCCATCTCTGGCCTGTCCGAGAACGGGTTCAAGACCGTTGTCGAAATTGATACGGTGCGCGTCTTGGCCGCCTCTCGCGTGTCCTGCTCACTGTGCGCAGTTTGGGACGTACAACACCATCAAGGCCACCCTGCCCCACGTGCGCGCGTCCAAGGGGTCGTACATCCACGTCAGCGCTACGCTCCATTACAGAGGTCCGTAGCCCTGCGACCCGCACGATGCGCGATACTCACTCGTGTGCAGGCACCCCGTACCAAATACACGTCTCGGCCGCGAAAGCCGCGGTGGATGCTAGTACGTCCATTCGCGCGTGCACTATTATCCTCTGACGTCCTCCACCGCCAGTGTCTGCCGTCCTCGCCGTCGAGGAAGGTCCGCACGTGAGCTCTCCCCAGATTCACCCACCCGACTCCATCTGATCTCTTCGCAGGGCGTACGCTCAAACGTGATAGCCCCGGGCGCGATCGCCAACACCGAGGGTGCCTCCCGGCTGATGGTCAAGAACACCGAGTACGCCGCGCCGGCCGGGCGCATCGGAGACGTGCTCGACGTTGCGAACGCGACGATCTTCCTCTTCAGCGGCGCTGCGGCGTTTATCTCGGGCCAGATCATCGTTGTCGACGGCGGATACGAGCATGTGCGCTCTTCGTGGGTGCCCTATCCCCAATCGGTGCTCGACCCCGCATCCTTCCAGGCGTCGATGAAGCCGCGGTTGTAATGGCTATAGTAAGGCCGTGGGTTTTTCATTTCGGGCGTGGAGAATGTACGTTTTTGCATATTTGTTGCGCGCGTGAGGCGTTCGGGTGCGTGCTGCATTATAGTGATCTACTCCACCACAATGAACGTCTACCTTGTTTGCCGGGAGCAAGTATGCTATGCGCGGGAATGGCCGCTCTGGCCTGCAGCAGAAGTCCATCGGTGCAGCATGAACACGCCGAGTGTCGACACCGTTGTGAGATCTTCACGCTATATGGCACGTCGCCAAACGCTCCGAGCCCTTAATGAAGGCACGCGTTGCTCCGGAGTATCACCAGATGCCAGCTTGGCCCGGGAGAACGACCCCAGAGAAGCGGACCAACGTGCTTCCCCAGACTCAGAACTCCAACGTTCGCGGGATGCATCGCAGAGGAAGAAGTGGGACATTGTCGCGGGAGAGACCAGATGACTGCAATAACAGCAAAGGACCCGAAGCAGTTCGCGATGCGGCGAGTGATTGATGAAAAGAAGCCAGGGCAAGACCCGCTCCGAGGGAATCATAACCAGAGACGAGGAAGGCGGACATGAGAACTCTTGCAAGAACGGCGCGCCTTGTGACTACTGGCTTGGCGCAGCAGGACCCTTTGGTTCTGTGTCAAGAACAGATGAGGGCTCCCATGCGTTTGCCGAAGCTACATGCGTGTGCGGTGGACCGGTTAATGGACGGGATTGTGCGCGCTCGTTTCGTGGCGTGCCGTCTGTGGCCAGAATACACCAGAGCATGCACTAACTTGCAGGAGTCTGAGGTTTGAGGGAGACGAGATGCCCCACCTTCAGAAGGCTGATCCAGCATGGGTGACGGGAAACGAGAGCCCGCACAGAGGTGTCCCCGCGGTTTGGCCGATGTGAGAAGGATGTGGTGTCGGGGAAATCTGGATCAGATGTGTCGGAGAGGTCAACATATCGCGAATACGCCGCATACAAGCGAGGAGACAAACCAAGTCTTGCACTTTGCTCATCGTCAGGGCCCTCCTGTGAGGGAAAGTCGAGGGGGAAGAGCAGTTCGAAGAATTCCGTTGAACCCTTTACGTACTGACTGAAGCCAATGATCTTGCGGATATTCCACGGGTTCTCATAATCAACCCCTTTGAACGGTAACTTCACAATGCAAACATGTCAAAAATGCGGGGAATCTTGTCGTTCGCTCCGAAACCCGGGTTATGTCAGTTCCGGGCTTGGGGTTCGACTCGACCAGCACTTGGAGAGACAATCCTGGATTCTGTTTCCCCATACCTCGGATCGGCGGTAGTGTAACATGTGGATGGCGGCGAGTTCTTGCGAAATTTCGAAGTTAGCAATGCCACGGCTGTACTGCAGTAATTGCTCGGTCGGGAGTCACCGCTGTACGCTTCAAGTTGCCAGTGGAAGAGCTGAGCACTGGGGGAGTGCGCGTTGAAGAACGCGACAAAGCCGGTGAGTGACGTGCGCTGATCTGGTCTATGAAACGCTCACCACTGACTTTTGACTGCGCTGAAAGTGCGATCGTGGAAAATGAGGGATTTTCCGGCCGAGCTTGTTGCAGCATTATCAAAGTATCTCATGCTCGCTAGTCACCGAGACACGTCTAATATACCCATGTGAGCACGGTGCGCATTTCCTACTGGGTGACCCGAGGGAGGTCGACATATGCTGATACAGAGCAGCTTCGTTTGTGTGCGTGGTCGAAGCGCACGAACCGGCTGCCCTAGTACTGGTGAACTGGTGGCTATCCGGATTAGAGCCATAGTATTCCTGTTATGCACCGTTAATACGTGACTAAAGCGTCGATATCATGCATCAATGCATCACGAACGACGAAGAGCTGTTGCAGCTGGGTAGGTAGAGTGTGATGACGACAAAATCACCAAAGACCGAAAGGAGAAAGCGGTATGCCTTGTAAGGAAAGTATGGATTGCCATTCATTCAGCAGAAGATCCTGCCTGCCGCCATTAATCCAAGTCCTGCGATAACCCACAAAACGGTCTGGGTGTTTCAAAGCTACGATTGTGCCTTTGGGCCTTTTATACAATAGACATCGCCGGCTACTGCTCCTCGAATTCCATGTTCGATGTGTAGTGGAGAAAGTCGACAAAATCGGTGGGCAAGCTAGGTCGCCAATATAGCGGATGCTCTATTGCTACGAAGGGCAGCATCCTGCAGCTGAGAGTCTGAGGAGCCGAGCTGTCTACCTATGTAAGGCAAAATGTCCTTGCATTGGTGACCGAGGCCCTCCTAGTACAGTATCGAGAGAGACAGGACATTCGTGGCCAAAATAAATCAGGGTCAGGGTCAGGTGCAGTTTGAATTCGAGCTTCTGTACAACACAAATCATACGATAAACCGAGCCGGCGTTTACCTAAACCCAGACCTTCGTCTTTTAATACAATATTGCGGAACAGCGCCGAGAACATTGATGCATCGAATCGTACAAGATACACTTTGCTTCTATGTACCAAGCAAACCAAACACTAGATACTCACAGCCTACAAACCATATCCCGCCGCCTCCAGCGATTGCACGAATGGGCCCACGACTGTCACGTCGCACCTTCTAACCAACGTCTTTAGCCGCGCATCCCTCTTAGACAGGTTGGCGAGTTCCTGGCCAAGGTACTCTCGCGGGTCACGAACGTGTGCGACGGGGTCGACGGGCGCACTCTCCGACGCGGCTAGGCGGGAGTACGCAGCCTGATACCCCGCCGTCTGCTCCTCGTAGTCGATCGCGGTGATACCGGCGTACGGATCCTCCTCACCTTCTTTCTTCGTCAGATATTGAGGTTCCAGGAAGAGCTTCACCAGGGTCGTGAAGGTCTGAGGCCTGCAGAAGGTTCGTAAGAGACAGTGTAGCGAACAGCGAGGGATAGAGACGCACCATGCCCGCACTGTCGGTTCCTGAAGCATGATTGTGCTTTGTGTTAATAGCCGTGTCAGGCCTACGACGATAACCTTGCGATCTTTTGGTAGCATTTTGGGTGCCTCAGGAATGACGAAGTTAGTCAAGATTTGCGACCATAGCCTGAGAGAAACAGGTATATTACTCAGCATCGGAGATTTCATAAACAACGCAAGGCGGAAAGACTCACTGAGGCTGAATTTCTTCGAATGTGCTGACGACGTAGTCAGGTGCGAGTCCCTCTACCGGAATGGCCATGGTGAAGGCGAGGAAATTTACAAAGAGGTACACATATTTGTCGGTCTTGCTCGTCTGTAAGCGGTTCAGAAGTGTGACAAGGATGGCACGGAAATATTGCTTCAGGTCCGCTCTGAAAGAATCGCTATCCGTTAACGATACAGGGCCACAAGAGTTCGGAAACACGCACGGAGGAACGTGTTGTACGACCGCCTGCAGAAGCTCAAAGCCCCAAGCATCGTTCAACTTTGACGGTATCAAGCGTTGTTGTACGACCGCAAGCACAGCCGTATACTGGCCTGAAGAGACCATCTGTTTTGTGTCGCGTGAAAGGAATACCTTCAATAGCTTAACGAGACCTGGAATGCTGCCTTTTTGCTGCCAACTTGCAGGCGTCAACAGGAATGGTACAAGACTGCGATATGCTACCGGCACATCGTCCGTGTGCAGGTCAAGCATTTGCGCGAGGACTTGGAAGACGTAGGGGATGTATTCTGCGCAGGAAGAGATAAGATGGCTGATGTCGAAGGACACGGAGGAACTTACGGTCGATGTCCTGCTGCAGGATTATCGTGAATGGGCCGAAGAGTGTCTCTTCGAACCTAGGTAGTGTGCTAGGGTTGGCGGCCACAACAAATCTGCAAAAACGAATCAGTAAGTAATCTGAGGGGGTAAGCAAGTGGAGAAAAATACCTCATCAATGCGGACAAACTTTCGAAGATATACTGGTCAAAGTTCGGGTTGCTCGGGTTCTTTGAGATCACACCCAAGATCCCGACTAGACGCTGGAGGATTTGCTCAAAGCCAGTCGCTAGTGTTGAGCGGGCAGTGATGATGACACGCATTACACCTATTGCGTCATCGTGGTCAGTTGGGGAAGATAGTACAGTTACGAGAAGATAGCGTACACTTCATCAGATAGTCGTTCTCGGCAACCTTCTCCGGCGTGCCGGCCTTCTCGATTTTTGACAGGAGCGCATCGAGTAGAGGCGGCGCTATGTCTTGAACATCGGCTTGCGAAAACCTGGTGAATGAAATCGGCGTTCAGATATGACATCGACAGGTAAGTGGAGTAAGTACACACAAAAGCTGTGTACCCTGCTTGATGAAGAGGATCCTCTCGATACTGATCGCAGCGTACGTGTAGCAGACGTAGTTTTCCGAACCTAGGTGGCGGACGAGAAGAGGAAGAACGGAGAGGAGTTGCGGCTTGATGAGCTGTTCAATGAAACTATTGAGCATCACACTTATTCAGAATACGGGATACAATACCTGATTCCGGAAGGTGTAGAGGAAACGGATAGCATCCACCTGGAGGATCGGGTGTACGCTATTCGCGTCCGCCTGAAGGTCCTGGAAAACATGGTTCGAGAAGAACTGCACCACATCAACGAGGGTGTTCGTCGACGTCACACCATGCTAGGTAAGATGTAAAAGACGAGATTAGCCAGGAGAATAATATCACCAGGATACAACGCACCTGCGTCGTGCTCCCCCGTGTCGCAACAGCGGTCATCAAATAAATAGCAGTATCTTTCGCGCGCCAGTTCTCCGCCTTGTTCGCGGCGTACTCGTGCAGGCCCTCGCCAATCCACGCGCCGGCGACCGCAGTTGTATCATCCTCGAACCCAGATGATACCAACGCACGGAGGACCTCTGCGGCTGCCTGACGTCGTGTGACGGCGTCGGAGCTGATACCCATGACGCCGAGAGAAGGCAGCGCCAGATCGAGGCGGATGTACTCAAGCGGGTCATCTTCAAACTGCTCGATTTCGTGGTCTAGGAACTCGAAGCAACGTGGTTAGCGCGGGCCACTGAGACTGCGGTGTAGAAGGTATCTGGCGAACGTACCTCGAAGACCGACATTTGGAACGACAATGCCCTGCACGAGGCTCGAGATCGTCTCCTTCGAACCAAAGAGCTGCGCGTAGTGCCCGGAGCGAATGGCGGTAGAGATGAAACGCAGAGACTGCGAGACGAGCTGTGGGAGTAATCAGTACGAGAACGACCTCGGGTGGCCATGCTGGAAACCTACCCCATCATCCACAACGCTCGTGCGTCTGCCGTCGCCCACAAGCGCCCAGATGCCACGCACGATGGCCTCCACGGACGCAGTGCTCTGCAGTGTCTCAGGGTACAACTTCACATACAGCTCCGAGATCTCGAGAAGCCCTGTCTTGATTTGCGATGGTAGCGAGGGCGTCGTATCTTCGGGCTGGCGGCAAATTTCAGTCGATGTCCTCAAATGATACGTGTAGCGAGGCACTCACGTCACCCTGCAGCTCTGGAGGGTTCCACGCCAGCAGCTGTAGAAACAGGCCAGTATCAGGCGCGAAAAATTGGGCGTGCGAGTCCTCGATGTCTGGCGGGAGGTCCTGACATGTGAGGTCGTAGAAGATGTCCACGAGGATGACTTGCGCCTGCGCAATGAGCGCTAGGCTTGACGGTGGAGGCGTGGCAAACAGCTGCGTGGCGGTGTGCACGAAGAGCTGGAGGAATGGGCGCGAGAAGCGCGAAAGTACGTAGTTGATCACGGTAAACAGCGCGTCGGAGCGTGCCTCCGCGCGCCACGGCCGGAAGATAGAGTGTGCGGTCTCGAGTACGCCGATGCTCACCTCATAGTTGCTCTCTGACAGTGAGAACACGAGTTTCTGAACAGACTCTGAGGCTCAGGGGATTGAGCTGCATACAAACGGAGCACCTACATCGATGAGGTCTGGCCACTGCTCAGGAAAGTCGGCGCTAGCAATAAGCGATATTGACTCTGCCACTTGGGCGCGCATCGCCTTGTCTGTTGCACTCGAGAGCGCAATCATGGCGGGAACAAGTTCAATTCGCAATGCGGTCTTGTCAGATTCCTGGATCTGGGAATCTTCCTGGAAGAGTTCAAGTTGTCAATAATGTGGAGCATTCGTCGAGAACCGAGTTAGTTATATCGAGAAACCCCGAATTGAGTAAACAGCCGCCTCCGCTATCACTCAGTGGACCAGCTTAGCCTCAGGAAACCTCACGTTAAATTGGAGTACTCTCCGCAACAAACAAGAAAGCCGGATACAGGGTATGAGTGACGACTAGACAGAGGTGAATTTGTAGTCACCAGTTCTGAGATAGGAAGACCGAAGTGGCTGGAGACACGATGGATTGCTCTTGAGCATTAGCGCGCGTTGAGACTGGGAGCTCCGTGACCACGTCTGGCCACCCTCGATACCCGCACACGCTGAGGCGTTCAATACATTCATTGTTATCAGTCGTTGAAAACAAGCCTGAAGAGTAGATTAGGAAGTTTCCTTGCAAATTGGTGACTGTCAATTCATGAAGACGTGGAGTTGAATAAGAAACTCACGTGGTTGAGGCTGTTCCGCATTTGACAGGCCTTCAAAGCAGTAGAAGAGCGGACAACCGACAAACCACCACCCGGTCAGGCAGCAATCACGCCGTCCGACGGCCTCATTTCCAAGACGAGAATGTGTTCACTTTTGTGGCCTCACGTGAAGGATAATACAGCAAACTTCTAAGAGAGCTGACGCGATCGAAGATTGGTCGCGGCCGTCCCTGTTCGGGGCTTCTCGACATAGCTACATAGATTGAAACACTCACATCATCCCATCTGTTTTTAACCACATTTTTGAGGTAAACACTGCCTGCGAGACGAGCTGCACGGTCTTGCGACTGCTCGAGGACGAGACGAAGGAGAACAGAAAGGAAGCCAGGCTGAAGGCTCAGGGACTGAAGGTTCTGCTCTGCCTGCTTCCGGGATGCGGGATTAAGGGACGCAAGGAGGAGTGTCGGAAGTTCAGACATGATGAAGACGGAAGAAGAATTGGAGGTGATGGACGGAGATGAGGTTGGTCGCGACTGGGACGCGACTTTCCGTGCGCGTGCACGGTGGCATGTGCCGATAGCGCTCATCAGAGTCACGCCACCGTGACCGAAGCCGGTCATCGTTTGTCACGTCTTACCAACAACCTTCGCGATCCTGGGCGCTGCCTGGTATAGCATTGTCGGCGTTCTTGTGTATGGCTTGTAAGGTATATAACTCAACTGATATAACCTAATCTAGCTAATGGTAAAGCTGAGACATTGAGTAGTTATAAGAGAAAATAGATAAGCCGAACTAAAGGTATAATGCACATTCAGCAAACATGCTTTAGCAACTTCTTGAACTCCAGATTTCAACACTCCCTCTTAAACCTTTAAGAGTCTCATTAATGTCACATCTCAGAATGAGCTATGCTGAGTGATTGTATGCAGTATTGAAGCTTGGCTATATAACCTGCTGCATCAACATTAGACTCAAGCTTGTTATCCACATCCTGAGGCTAATATGAGTGCAATTATAATTGTAAGCAGTGATAGCCATTTACTATATTAAGCGGGGAAAGTGTATGCATAATCTCGTGGTCCATTGTCATGAGACAAGTCCAGGTAACAAAATTTGCATGGTACTAAGGGCTCATGTAATGGCAACGGGTCCCTGTGTAAGCCACTTTCCTGCAGTAACCTGTGAATTTTGAGGCTTCAGGAATCAGACACACAATCTGTGCAAGTAAAAAAAGGAAAATAATATGTTAGTGCTTAAAAGTGGCAAATTATCCAACACACTGGAGATGGTGAGCTATATCTGGACATTTAATATTGTGCAAACATCCCTTCTATCATTGTACATATGTGGTAGAATGTCAGACACTTGTACATTTCAACAGGTCCAATGGATGCAAGAGGTGGCAGGAAAAAGGGGATAGAGTTGTCTTGAGACTGTGAACCAGCAGGGTCCTGCAGTGACTCAGGCCACTAGAGTGTACTAGAGTACTGTTTATCCTATCAGCTAAAAGTTTAGAGAGTTCAAAGAGTGGCATAAAGGAAGGAGAAGATGAGGAAGAGGTGATTGGCCCATTTTCATCAGTGTTGACATTCATGGGAGGCGAGACGACAAGGCAACCTAAAAATGTGTATCTAGTGAATCAGGTACAGATGGGGACCAGTGTGGGACAGACAGGTTGAAAAGATGGTAAAGAGTGAGAAGATGATGAGATAATAGAGCCTATCTGAAGGGATGGGCACACGATGTTCAAAAAAGTGTAAGCAGACACGGTCGAGGGTACACTTTACTCAGAATTAAACAGAGATGGAACAACCTTCATTGCTGTGAAAAGAAAGTTACTGCTATGATATAGGACAGAGAACATACTACATACCTTCATTGCCATGGGGAGAGAGTGAGGAGTGGCAATGGAGATGAAAACGGTCTAAAGAATACAGAATATGAAGGAAGGACAAACAGACTGTCGTAAGTATGTAAGCTGGTTACAGGCTCGGGCATGTTGTTCGTGATAGCTATTGCTGTGATCAACCCATGTGTTTATGCCAGTACGGTGTTCACTTGAACTTTGCAGTCTGCAGGAACAATAGTGAAGAGGTATGGTTGAGTCCTTGGTCCGAGGACCTTGGGTCCTTGATGCAGTAGTGTGATGTACAGTAGCCGCGCGTAGGAGATCGGCGATCAGAGTTGATCCGCCCCTCGACCTTTACCAGCATATATATATCCTGGAACCGGACAGTATCTACGTCACGATTCGCTAGTCAATTGGGTCTTGAGCTTGAATCCTAGACGTTCCGAGTCCAGGCAGCAGCGTCTAGTAAGCGCGCTTTCTTGCATGGTACTCCCGTGCCGCATCACGGAGACGGGTCATCGTCATCGGAGGGTAGCACTAGCAGCCGCTGACACCGTGTAAAAGCGGGCATTCAACTCCGCAGTGTCGGTGGCTCCTCCGCTGCTAACCATGTCGCAATACACCTACCTCTCCACTCCGGATCCCGAGTTCGTGGAGGTCCTGGCGAAACTTCCGCCACAACTTGCTCCGTCTGGCGATGTATCGCTCATGCGGGCGGGCTTCAAGGAAGCAGTGGGAGAACACAATAAGCATCTCGAGATGCGCTTACCTCCAGGTGAGTCTTACGGAAAAGGCCTCGCTGAGGTTGTCACAGAACCATGTACTTCGATGGCAGCCTCAGCATACACTGTGAAAGACCACACGATCCCCGTCGAGGGCGCGGAGATTGTCGTGCGATGCGTGGTACCGGCACCTTCTGCAGACAAGACCTTCCCTGTCCTTGTTTGGTTCCATGGCGGAGGTACGCCAATCGTCTTGCATTGCGCTCTTCGCGGACTTGACATGGCGTTTCTGTACTCACTAGGTTGGATGGTCGGCGACGTCCACGCTGATGACTACCGCTTGAGGATGCTGTGCGTCGAGCTGCAGATATCTATCGTGAACGTCGATTACAGGTAGGCTTTGCGCTCCCGCAACGTTCCCAGCGATTCACTCGTTGACAGACTCGCACCGGAGCACGTCTACCCGACTGCCTGGAACGATTCGTACGCTGCGACCAAGTGGGTGAGCACCGTCCGTCCTCGTCCTGTCGTCAACTAACACTTCACGTGCAGGTGGTGGAGCATGCATCTATACTGTCCGCGGTCCTGGATAAAGGCTTCATCGTCGCGGGGTGTTCTGCGGGAGCCAACCTTGCAGCTCATGTCGCCTATTGCGCTCGCGACGACCCGTTCTTCGCCAAAACGCCTATTACCGGCCAGTGCCTCCAGGCTCCGTGCCTGCTGCATCCCGAAACAGATGCGGGAAAGTGCGTTCAGCCTGCCCTCGTTCCGTTATTTCTCACCGCCAAACTGTTGCTTGCTGCAGATACAAAACTGAGCTCCTGTCCATGGAGCAGAACAAGGACTCGCCTTCTCTCACACGCGCAGAGATGGTATATCTTGCTCGTGAGTTCTGCAGCTTCTTCATTCTACCCCGGGCTTGTTGGTTCATGAACCCGTCCCTCGTTAGACCAGCTGAAGATCCCACCGTCTGACCTCGGGCTCTCCTTGCTACTTCAGCCTTCTCACGCTGGCCTGCCTCCTCTGTACGTCCAGATCGCCGGCTGGGACCCTCTACGCGACGAGGGCCTCCTCTACGCGAAATTGCTACGCGAGGTCGGCGTGAAGACTAAGGTCGACGTGTGAGTAGGCAATTAAACTCGAACATGGTGCACTCCTGAGTGCTGACGTGGCGGCGCGGGCTGGCGCAGATACCCTGGGGTGCCGCACGGCTTCCACTTCGACTATCCGCAGCTGCAGTTGTCTGCCAAGTGGGAGCGCGACGTCGATGCTGGGATCAGGTGGCTGTTGAGCCTGGTTGCTTGAATGGCGACGCTTCTCGACGCGCTCGGTGTCTGTAATGGAGTGATCTGCACGCACCAAATTGTTTGTGAATGTATGTGTACTAAATATCGGAAAAAGTCTCGGGCTCGTATCAAGTGCAGGTCACTCGTTGGCTGATGATTGTCTATCATGGGAGTATTCACTGAGGGTGCGTTCGAGATGGGCATCTCTCGATGGGCTCCCCGCGCTACCCCGCGCCGAGGATGCACCCTCAGAAGGGCCACTCGTGTTTCCGCATATTGGAATCTCGGACAAGGCGAACGTCCGCGCTGGCATGAGAAGTAGTCTGAGCGCATGATGAGCCTAACTTCAGAAAGGACCGGTTTGACAGACACGAGACGAACCCAGGAAGTCTGCCTGAAAAAGTCTCCCAAAGGCAGACTGACACTCTGCTTCAACCTTCGTTCCTCAGGATATAGCCTGATCTCGACACTACCCCTATCTGTGAAAAACCATCCTCTGCTGCCTGGATGGCATGGAGAGCCCACTGCGCACTCGTTTGCTAGGATGCAGTTCGTCAAATCAGCGTCAAGTAAAGCAAGTCACACAAGACCTGTGATACAGTGACGTAGGGAGCCTGCTAGATCCCAGAAGCAAGCTCAGAAGCATCTTGTTTGCTTTTCTAAAATTCAATTTGTACGACGTCATTCTCGCGCTAGATTACTTTAGCTCCCATACACTCCCCTCCTCATCGTGTAATCTCTGAACGCAGTTAGGACACAATTCAGCACGATGCAATGTCAAACTGAGTTTACTTACATCTGGGTCGATCACAAAGCCCGTTAGTGCTTCCAACACCGCCCGACCCGCCCACGCCTCGACATCTCTGACCTGCTGTGGGGTAATGAAACCCTGCGACGTGCGAGAGGCGAACACCATCTGCGCAGCAGCCGCTCTTATGCGCGGTCCCGGTACAGGAGGCCTATCATTGGGTGCAGAGGGGTATACACCAGCTGGCTGTGTTTGAACAGACGATGGATGCGAAGATGAAACGGCGGGTGAGCCCGGCAGGGTGCTCAGCGAGGGAGATGCGATATGTGCGGAGGGTGTGTCAGACGGCCAACTTGCAGCTAGGTGCAGTATGTGGAAGGTTTCCATCTTAGATACGCGTTTCATCAATTCGTTGTCAAAGGAAGCAGACGGGCAGATAACGTCACCTCAAAAGTGGCCAGATTTCCGTGAGATGACTTCAGTCGGTCTATGAGGTCAGCGTTGTAGTCTGGGAACGAAGTTTGCCGTCCTTGCGAAGAGTAAAAGCTGAGCAATGTCAGAAAAGGACACTGCGGGAAGGTATCGGAAATAGGACGGACCTGTCCGTAGATGCATTCATGACATGGTCCACAACTGACATTTCCTCTGAGCTGCGCTGCTTATTAAGTGCATCGTGCAGCTGGCCAGTCTTTGTCAGCTGATGAACAATATTCCGTCACTCGGAAAGAACACGCACTGCAGTATGAAGCTCTGAATCCGCCGCTATCTATGCCACAGTCATTAAAAGCACCGATCTCATACGAATTATTAGCGTACCGGTCTGCTTATCTTGTACGGATACTCCTGTGACGATCCACTGGCGAAGGGGAAATCATAGTTCCTGGTAACACAAATACTAGTCTTTGGTACCACAACCGTCCCCACCGGCACATCTATAACAGCACCGCAGGACCCAAACCTTGCATCCCGCACCCAAGTCTCACCATCAGATCGCACGCAAACAGAAAGCCGATACGGTTCCCATTGACCTTACTACCAGCATGTCGCCGCTGAGGCATTCGCGCACCTCCCGCATGAAGAAGTCGGCATTTGGGTGTCCCATCCCAATGCTTACGATGGACACCGGAACTCCCTTGTACCTCCCTGTGATTGTGGTGAACCCGCGTTCTGACGAGAGGACGAACGGCTTTGGTGAGCTATCTAAGTAGGCCGCCACGGCGTTTGCGCGGGACGGCGCTCCCACCGTAACCTGGTTGAACGGCATCGGTCACTTGACAAGACTTGTATTCAAATGTAAGACTCACGATCCTGTTGGCCACTTCGCCTGCCTTGATACCCAGATGATAAACACGATGGTCTAGGGTGCGGGGAAAATCTAGGAAAATCGGGAGAGCGTCAGGTAGGGAAAGATGGTAGTAAAAGGTGGCCATACTAGCATCCACGATGAGATCCTTCATCTCTATATCTATCTTCTAGCTTCTAGTCGAACGCTCGAGTCACTTCAATGCAGAAGACTGAATTGGTGACTCCAATGCATTCAGAAAATTATCGTTGATCGGACTCGGAGTGATGATCTCAAGATGTTTGGTGCACGTGATCTTGCTCGACTTGTTCGACTTTGTGGTGCTACAGACACAAGTACTGGCCGTCTGCCTCCCGACGGAAAGACTCTCATAAAGGGCGCATTATTCACGACCTTTTTTCGATGCATGCGCAGCATGATTTGTGTCTGGAATGCTGAGAGTGTTTTCGGCGCATTTGTTTCTCTTCATCCAAGATGCTTGCGGTGTGAAAGGTTTACTGCTCATTGCTTCGGATATTTGTGCTGAATATTTGAATTTCTGCCAGTGTACGCAGACGTCGTCATCGCAATTATCCCTGGTATATCATTCATCCGCTTGACCTCGAGTCTGAATATCGGCATGCTCAGGCGATACCGCGGTCGGAGCTCACATAGGTAGACGAGTGAATGACTCACCGAGAATTCCCTTCAAGTATGATGACAGTTTTCCCAGTCTCCATACGGAGGTTGCAGCGCACAAGGAATTTCCGACATACCGCACATTCCGCGTCCGATCGGCGACTCACTTGCGCTTGATGAAGCACCCCTTGGCGACTATACACGCGCCAGTACTCATCCCACCGGCGCCTGCTGATAATTGGGGACACCCATACCTTTGGAACCCGTGTCGCTAAATGGCCTAGGGAGCTAAGTATGGCCGATCGTGCCTCAATTACCCTGTGTATGACTCAGGACCCTATCCCAGTACTCGTATTCGAGATTGTTTGAATTCGAAGGAGCGTCGAGCAGGTCTCGGAATATCTGCTGGAAGGGTCGCGACGCCCAATATTCTCATTCTCACCGCGCGAGGCGGGGAAGGGAGATTGCCGGAATGGCCCCTTCGATTCTTGCCGGTGAGATCCAGGTGGTTACGACTACGACGATTATCTATTTGCGTGGGATCCAGAATTTTTGAACGGCTCTGATTTGCAGAGGGCGACGATGTGCACGTATAGATACACTGTGCGCCGACTTAATATTCGCACATGTTCAGTTCTTCCGACTGCTCAGTGCACGCTGGGATCGTTTGAGGATCATTCTACTTCGTGATTGTGCCAGCCGTGGCCTTCGCGGGGCATCCTTGTCCCTGGGATCATCGTCGTCCTCTTATGTGGAACTTGCGTGATGTGTAGCGGTCACATCTCCTATACCCCGAGCGGTCCTCAGCTGCGTTCCAACACGCAGTGGACCCTCACGCACCTTCCTGTCGCAGCTCCCCCGGAATGACATGCGAATTTGATCTCCTGTCCGCTCGACTGGCAACGTAACGCAGCCCCGCATCAGTCCGCTCACAGCGATCGCCGAGCGGAACGGCAGCCCCTGCCCCTGTGCCCAGGCCGCGTCAAGCACACTGGCGCTGGCATTGAAGCTTTGAAAGAGCTCGAAATCGGAGCGGCCTGGCACATCAGCGCGCGGCATGCAAGTACGTGTAAGCACGAGCGCGCTTCGAATGACATCGTCGCCGCACTATCACCGCGCTCTGCCCCGCATCGCGAGGGCCCTTGGACCGCGTCGCTTGCGCCTACCCGCGGAATACTTAGTATGGAACTAACACGTCACCCTCATTTTGGAGCTCCCCTGGGACGCTTGCGGCGGCGGCACCGAGATTGCGATTATACAGTGTGATTGGTATGTACGCGCTACAGGCGGCGGGATTTTGGGTGTGTATGATACATAGTCTGTGTGCGAGTAAGTCCATTTACAGCGAAAGAAAAGAGCTGACAGCAGGAAAGCCGGAGAGAGCAAGGGACGAGCGAATGTTTATGTAAATGTGGGTAGAATTACAGATTGCAGAAGCTCCGTGTCTGGTGGAGAGCGAGAACCGATAACCTGCGAATGGTTGAAACATGAGAGAGAGGACTACGGATCGGACAAGCGGCGCGTGAAATTGCGAAATAGAGAAGCGACGAGTCGGGGAACAGGACGCGCGGGACGTTGGACGTCCGACCCATCGGAGCTACCGCCCATCATATCTGCTCCTGTCCCAGTAACTCATGTGAGAGTGCGATGCCGAGTGCGGGCTAGCGCCGCTAGAGCTGGATGCGGGACTCTGCGCGGACGACGGCTGGTGCAGCATCGGCGGGGAAACGCGTTGCGAGCCGGAGGGCACGCGATACTGCGATGGCCACTGGCCACCGTGGCTCTGGCCTGCCGACAGGTATGCCGAACTCGTCGGCGTAGGAAGCGTCGTGGTATGCGTAAATCCGGCCGACTCGGGCGCTCCAGATTGCGACCTGCCAGGATATGACAAGCCGCGATGCATCGCAGGGCCTGAGGAAGAGGGCGCATAATCCGGGGGACTCGGATGGCCCGGGTGTGCTGTAGCGGAAGTGTACGAGTCCGTGCTGGACGTGTGGCGGTGGGAGGAGGGCGACTGACTTGGGAAGAATGCCGGGGTGAGCGTGGGGAACGCCGAATTAGAATAATGGCCAGAGGCCCCACTCGCAGACCCGCTGGACGGCGTGGACGCGGTCGTGCTGGACCAAGAGCGATGTGTGAGCGGAGGCGAATACATTTCCGGGCGATCAGACGGGCCCGAAGTCGGCCGCTGGCGCGCCGCTGACATATCAAGAGCGGGAAGCACGGGCCAGCCTGGCCGCCCTTGCTCGGACCTTCCTGCTTCTCTCGGAGAATCCCAAGGATTATGAGACATCTGGGCTGGGGACGAGGTGTACGGCGAAGCGTGACTGGGCTGCACCGTTGACGGAGATGGGTAGTTTTGGGAGCTTGGGCTAGGGGGAGGCAGAGTGGATAATCGCAGACCAGGCATCCCGCCCGCACTAGGAGCAGAGAGCGTAGACAACCGGAGGCCAGTCATTCCGCCTTGGACAAATGAATTATCTGCGGGTGAAGGTATAGATGCAAGGTGAGAGCGCGACGGCTGGCTGAACTGGCTGGAAGGAACCTCGGACAATGACTGAGCATACGGACTGGACGAGTGCGCAAAATCGTCGTGTGGCTCGTACGCCGCGGACGAGCTTGCGGTGCCGGGAGGAGAGTACTGGTACCCTTGACCCATCGAGGACATCATTCGATCATCTCCCTCAGTTGGGGAGCCTTCGTCCATGGAGCCATCCTCTCCCTCTACCCCGGGAGAGAGCGACGGCGGCGTGGTCTGGCCGGGGTCGGGCTTGCGCTTTTTGCGCGAATTGTTGGGTCGACGACGGTAGACGTAGTCCGGATATTTATTGTTGAAGTTTTCTTTCAACTTCTTGGCCTGGTCTAGATAGAACTTTTTATCCGACTGTCGACACCCGCTATGTCAGTCGTCGGAACAAGTCTGAGAAAATGGAAAGCGACGAACCATGTCCATTGAGCTCCACTCTTTGCTCAGAATTTTGCTAATGTCACCAGTCCGCATCATCTGGTTGGCGGCCGAGATCTGCGGTCGCCGCCGCCGTGCATAAATCATGAACGCGTTCATGGGCCGCTTCGGAGTGCCATCTGCATTCAACGTCTGCGAGGTCAACGCAAGATGGGGATCCTCAACCTCAGCATCTACCGCAGAGTGTTACGCGCGTCGCTGACATGATTCGGAACGGCTCACCTGGTATGTCAACGTCGTCCTGGATGCCCTGAGTATATTCCGGGTATGCTGGATTGACCTGAGAGCTGCCGGGATCATGTCGAGTGGGTTCGATGCGATGCTGCTGCCGCTCATAGGCGGGGTCTCCCGACGGGCTGTAGTGCGCGGACGGGTGGTAGCGACTCATAGTAGACGAAGAGCAACGGATGTGAAGGACGAGAAAACACTTGCCAGGAAGCGAGAGATGTCAGCAAAAAATAGGGCAGGGTTCCGGTAGGCGCAGCTGAGCGTTAGAGAGGTGTTAGACGCTGAGTGATGAAACGTATTGGAGTCGGGCGGAGGATCGACAAGGGGACAGGCGAGGTGGAAGGGTTTTGAATGGATGGAGAGAGGGAACATGTTCTTTCCTTTCTCGCCTCTGCAGACCGCCGGGATCGTTCACAGGCACGGCAGGCCTACCAGGATACTTCCCGTTGGATATTTCTGCGCACCGGATCTGCCTTTCCAATTTGCCTTTTTAGATTTGTCCAGCTTATTGGTTCCCGTTTTCGGCTAGCGTCGAGCCCAGCGTCAGTCCACAGCGCGAAAGCTGGCATACGCGCTGCACCGAGCCGACGTCTCGCCCACACGCTGCCATGTCCCGCCGACGCCTCGCGCGCTGCACATCCACGTAAAAGCAGCTCAGCGCTGCTCCATCAGACGGTCAGGCGAGTGCCCAGCTCACCGCCACGCACACAACTTTCCGGGGTTGCAGGCCGCTGTCGTGGGACTTACGGCGGAGAATTCAAGGCGTTCGCGGAACCAACGCCAACTCCGCTTTTGGCAAGTCTACTGATCGAGATAGAAGAGAGTTCAATCTACTCGAGCCACGCACCGGTATTAACATCGCCAGCACTGTTCCTTGTAGCCTCGAGCCCCGCAGCGCTCATTTCCTCGCACCCTCGACCACCGACATGCTAGGCGTGCAGCCGGAAGGCGTGAGGCGTGTGTCTTGCAGCCTGCACCTGGTATTCTTGCGACAGGGTCACCAGGTGAGCCTGCAGACACGTCTCATGATTCAGCACGCTCTTCGGCGACTTCTCCATGATACCGCTGCTCCAGTACCCTGGCATCATGTCCAGCTCGTATCGTAGTGACCGCGAGGTATCCATCTCCCACTCTTTGGGTCTTCCTTGATGATGGTCGTACAGGGCCAAGCTGGCTGAGAAACAGATCAATCAGCGAGGATTTCATAAGCACCGAACACTATTTCTGCTGCCCGAGTTCAGGTACGCAGGATATATAGAGGATCGTTATTCCAGCTAGCTAATACTCGCTTTCGGTTTACGCCGCTGGAGTTGTTTTCGCGGCAGACTACTTACTTGCGAGAAGAACACCCATCTGCCGGCATGGCGCAGCTGGTGGCGGCAGTTTGCTTGCGACGGGGTTTCCTCCGGGACTTCGGGATTCTCGAAGCACAAGACACCTTCGATACGCATGAACTTCCGTCCCACTGAGGTTGGGTCGTCCCCCAAATCGGCGGTTCGCTGCTGGGCTTTCTGATCACTCCATCGATGTCGATTCTCCTCAGTTTCCCCAGAGTCTGCGTCCGCCGGAGTGATATAACCGCATTTGGCACCGTGCTGCGAACGCTTCGCGGTCGATTCTGGTTCCGTTGTGGCGGCAGGACGAATACGAATAAGATTAGACTACTCACCGTCTGCGCCTTCGCAATCTCGGATATTCAATGTGTTCAGGTACGCCCCGCTTGTTGCATCAATGTCGTCGTCCCGGTCTACAGGTGGTCAGCTTCGCGCGACTGCATAGAGCCCCCGGCTAGCACTTACGGATCCAGACTCATCGCGCGTCAGCAGGACTCATCGATGTCGTCGACGACCTGATGTCGCCCTCGGGTGCTTCCCCGCAATATGGCCTCCACTCAGTGGCAGCGTACCCAGGAGCGAGCAGATCGATATCAGATAGGCGCCCATGGAACTCAGAATGGCAGCCAGGGAAGACGCATCGGAGACGCAGGAAATTCTATCAGGCTTGGCAGAACTCTCCGTGTCCTGGAGCCCCCCACACGATTCGTCGATCGGGCCTGGCCCGCTGACGTCCCCTCCCACGTACGCAATCTCCCGTCCTTATCGTCCACCCCCCCTAGATGAGATAACCAGCGCTGTGCGCAGCTGCACACTGACAGTCCACCGTTGGGACACCTGGCATGTGACGGACCTCGCTCTCCTCGTTCGTCGCTCGTCCAGACGTATCGGACAGCGCACTGTAGGCGTACCTCGTACTTCTTCCGCCGCAGAGTCACAAGGCCCTGCGTCTTGTGTGCGGAGGAAGGGAGACGAGAGGCACGCCCGCATGTGACCGCCCGGGCCTGGCCTGATGTCATAGTCTGAACGCGCTCACAAAAATACTTGCGTGCGAGGTCATTTGCTCTCTCGCGGCCGCCCTCTCGTGGCTGCGCGCGCGACGCTGGGTGACAGCGATGATCCATTCCGTGCATCGCTGGGCGTTGCCGGTGCGAACGAAAACCTGCGAGCCCGTGGCGCATGGGCTACTTTTGCGGAGCTCGTAGGCGTAATCCGGGAAAATGGCGGCCGACATTGGCACGAGGAACATCGCTGATTCTGTGAATTAATTGAAAAAGTTAGATTGGACAGCCTACACAGAATCGATTTGACTGATGATGGACACCGTGGTGCCACCAACCAGCGGCAGTGGCGCGCGCGCGTTTATATGTCCTGGCCCTCGAACGAAAATGGAATCGTCGGGGGTTGAATGAGCTCAAAGCATCCACCAGCGAGCGCTGAGCTAGTGCGCGTGGGACAACCCAGCGAGCAGAGTAATTCACCCGGAAATGCAGGATCTGTTCGCAGATCCATAATTCAATAGCCGTACTGCACTGCCGCAAGAGGCAACATTCACAGCCGTGCAATATAACAAATCGGGAGATGCACCTTGACAAAACGAGATCCTATCGCATCCGGCGCGCCACCATCTCGCAGCGCAGTCGGTCCCTGAACGTGGGTCGAGCGGAAAGCTTGGACGCCACTTGGGGCTGCGGCACGGCCCAGCAGGAGGCAAAGCTTAGAGCCTCATTGGCTAGGCAGAACGACAGCTCGGGGCACGATGGGTCAGGCTAGCGACCTCTGGGCTCACGGACGGGCGGCGGCGTGGGGTGGAGCGGCAATGACACGTACCACTCGCGAGATCCGCAGGACCGGCAGCGGGCAGACACAGGGCATCACGGGTCGTTCATATGCCTATATAGAGATCAAGATGAGGACGCTGGTCAGCACCGTGGATCTCATAGCAGGATGCGCGGACGTGGATGACCAACCGTCGACCCATCGGGTCCGACGATCCCCCGGACTGCCTTCGAAGCCTGGGGATGCGAAGCGCACGCCTTCGGAACTTCGTGTCGTGTATGCAGGGTTTTCTCAAGAGTCCGTGCCACATGGACGGAGATCGTGACTCCAGAAGCCCCAAACCTAAGACGGCAGTTTGGCTCGAGCTGACGAGCGTATCGCTGCGCAGGAACTCTCTGTCAGTGAGGTCCAATATTCACAAGCGGATACCACGCACGCAGAAAAGTCCTGCGGAAGTATTCACAGAGCCATCTTCTGTCCGGGCCCTGCAGCCTCCAATATAGGATCCGCGTATCCACATCCTAGCTGCCCTTGCCGCGTTGAAATCACTGGATAGGGTAAAATGTGGAAGCATACAAGAGGACGCTGTGGCGAGGAATACTGCGAACGCTAGAAGGTTAACCTGAATAGCAGCATTGAATACTTGGTACTATTAGTACTTCAAGCTTTCTGTCATTGTTTTTAGCCCAGCGCATTTGTCGACGCGTCTCCAAATCCACGCAAGTAGTAGCATGCAGCCGCACGGAAGAAGTCATGACAGAATACGACAGCGCGCCACACTATTCGAAATAGGATGAGAAACGTGCACGGAGCATTAATGTGATGAAGCTTCGAAATGTACTTTGCGAGCGTCGACGGCGTCGCGTGTCACGTGATATACGCGTGTTGGACGCGCCGACTCTGTCGTCCAGACCGACCTTTCATTAAACGCCAGCTACCTCGCGGTCTGCCATCTAAAGTGACAAGGAAACTGGTTCTGCTCATGTGGTCCTCCTGGACTAGCTACTGGAAGATCAAATGCGCCGCACCAGGCAGTCTGTTTTCTCATCTGAAGCGCGGCGACTTAGGCTTCGCGAAGGCTGTCTAATGCGTCTAGCCCATGCGCAAAGAATGGGAGACGCTTCACCGGAAGGGCGAACACTTCTGCGGGAAAGTAGACGGGCATGATACAACCATAAAGGTCGACAGGAGGCCTAGAAACGGTCTTCTCGGAACGGTGGCGTAGTATAAAGTTGCCAACAGCATCGTCTGTGATCTCCTAGTCCACTCACTCTTCGACTACGATGGCTGACCCTGTGCTCACCGATCTCTCCGCCAGTAACCTCTTCGATCTCTGCGGCGTTGTCGCTGTGGTCAGCAGTGGCGGCTCGGTATGTTCACTCGACCGTCATCGTTATGCGGTCCTCTGTCGCTGAACTGTTTTGCTGGGGATTGGTCTCATGACTAGCACCACACTCATGGCGAACGGCGCCAACGCATACACCATTGGCCCGAAAGAAACTGATCTAGACAGGTTGGTTCTCCGAGCCTGACACGTCCACTTGGCCTACAACACGCAGGATCGCCAAGGTCTACAACGATGCTGCCCAGACGTGCGGAAAATTCGGACATCGAGAGAGACATTATCCTTGAAGTACGTGGTCACAACATAATGTTTTCGCAGCCGCCTTTGCGAAAAAGTCCGCACCACACCACTTTTGCGGCCAACTTTACCCACGGAAAGCCGGGCGTCACCCCATTTCCGCATTAAGCACCTGTGCGGCAGTAGAGCCCGCTCGAGTAGGCTAGACGAGCAGGCAGAGTGGGACTTGGCGCCAGTCAGACTTTGACAATTCCGAGGCCCGACTTTGGCCGCATCGGCTGGCGCAAAAGCAAAAGTGGTTGTGGAAACGCTCAGAGCTTGGTGAGATCCGGTCTTTTGATCGTCGCGATCTCTGCTGGCCATGAGAACACCTGATCCTGGGTGCGACAGAGTACTCTGACCACCATGGTCTTCCCAGTCCGAGGCTTTGCGAATGGCAGAAGAAGTGAGCAAGCGCGAGCGGCACGTCACTGTGCTCTTCGACAACGCAGGGTGAGCCTTTCTGTGCGCCTGCAGTCCTTCCATTTTCACTGACCGAACGCCAGGATCACGGGCGCACGCGCTCCGCGGCCTGCGGCGCCCACCGCAGCGGAGTTCCGCAAGGCCTTCCTCGACGGGGTCCCCGAGGAAGCCTTCCCCAACATGAACGCCGTGGGTTTGTACTGGCTCACCTTCGCCTTCCGCTGCCGCGAAGTGGAAGGAGCACGCGGCGGGCCCGCGCGTTCGCGCCCCAGGTCATCATGACGTCCAGCATGAACGGGCGGACCAAGATGCGCGCGTTACTCTTTCCATTCCCAGAGAGGCTCGCTTGTTGCGGGATAGGCCTCGGCGACCCGCGGGCCACTCATACCCGTACATGTTCTCCAAGTTCGCCATCGGCCGCGCGACGTCCTCGCTCGCACACGAGCTCCTCCCGCTCGGCGTGCGCGTGGACGGCACTGCGCCCGGTGCGCCCCCCACAAATCCCTTCCTGTGCAACTATCTCCGTCGTACATCGCCCATTACTGACGCGCATCGCAGGGCTCTTCGTCACATCGATGAACACGCTGGGCCAGGTCGACGAGCTCGGGCGGGTTACACCTCCCGCCCGGCCGTGAGTTCCCGTTCGAGGTTCCCGCCGTGCAGCCCGGCCCGCAATCGCTCCTCGGGGGCTCGAACAAGGACGTGGGCACGCTCGCGCTGTGCTTAGTCGCCAACTGGTATGTCAACGGCGAGCGGGGTACGTGTGTCCACTCAGAGCCGTGCCCACGGGATTGGCGTAGGCTGTTGCAGACTCTTCTGAAGCACCCATCGTCTTACTGAGTGTTTGATGCTCGTGCTCGCACAGTGGGAGCCGTGAATAAGGATCCAAGGCGAGTACTGCGAAGATTGTGCCCTGGTCGTGGATGACTTGTACGAATACGCAGCGCAAGTTTCGTCTGGTGGTACTTCCTCTCGACCATGTACCTTTGCACCAATCAGAGTTCTCTTGGCTACACACTGCAGACCAGCTTATCGTTCAACGAGAAAAGACGACAACGCCCTCGTGTCTATTATGCAGAGTGGATACTACCTAATAACAATTATATATAATACTAGGCTAGGACCAACACCCTCGTTACTTCTTCGTTTACGTAGTACGGTGTGCCTCGGCGGGCTTGTTGTTCGCAGTATAAATACAAAGATCATCTCTCTTCATTTCTTCTTCTTTCAGCCACTTTTACCTTCGACCTGTTTTGCGGTTTCGGCACACCATCGTCATCTCCTGCCCCTTCTCTGCATCTGAAGTACATCCGGGGCCAGTATCTAGTTGTGGGTCTGTGCGGCCAAGGCGCAAATGGTGCGGCAATTTCTCCAGCTTCTGCAATCCTCCTGATTGAAAAATATTCAGCCAATGTTTACTATGGGTATGACGTGAAACCAAGGAAACTGGTAGCAGCCAAACGGTCGCATTTTAAAGCTCCTGGAAGCAGAGAAGCACTGGTATGAGCGCTTACAGACAACAATGGGATCCTAAAAGTCCACTGGTTCGGTCTAGACTACGATGGTTTCGCCCTGGCGATAGAGTTAATTGCATCTACTATGGAAGTCCTAAGAAACCCCATTGTGCCGCCATCTACTGTGGGAAGTGCAGTGGTGCGGATCTGTATATTCGTTCACTGGTGTCAAAATTGATCTGATCTTGATTGTGCGAGCTATCTTGTCTTGAGGAACTACACTCGAAGGGCCTGGTTCACTGTGACATCAAAACCCAAAACATTGGTATAGGCCGAGCTACGTGTGCCGAGGTGGTCACATTTGATGAGGGCGTCTACCTAGATTTTCTGCCTGAATATCGGGTTTGCATGCGGGTACCTAAAGGTCATCGTTGCCCTTTACTGCTCGTATTTGGGTCGGAGACTCATGCGTTCAGATCCCTGCTATGCTGCTCCACTCGGGTTTTTGTGCGTGTTATGCACACCGATATCTTACCCTCCGCTCAATACAGCCATGGTTTGGTCGCAATGGGACTCCACCCTGGGGTTCGGTAACGAACGCTGTACTGTAGTATGCATATGAACGACACGGTACACGTGAGCGTGTCAACATCCACGCGCCTGCCGTTTCTACGCGTAACATCCCCGGCAGGGTGCTTTGGAAGTCCACGTCAGCGGCATAATGCTCTCTCCATCCTCCAAGTTGGGTTGCACATCCCGCTCGCCTCGTTCGCTCTTCCAGCTCCAGAGTCATGTCAGCCAATCCCACCTCCGATGGACCATTGTCCATGTCGACGAGGGTGAAACGACTTGTGGTACCCCCATTCTAGCTCATGCACACCTCACGCAACATCTCACCGCATTTATTATCTGGGCACCTACAGTCCTCCGATTATGTATGGATACCGGCCATCATTGGTGGCGCCTACCTTCTGTTATGAGGTGCCATTGCGAGGCTCCGGCCGCAGTATGGGCCATTATTCGACCGCCCTTGGTACAACATGACGACCGCCACGGTCCTGTTGACGGCGTTCCCGTATATGTTTATCAAAAGGAAACTGATGGCGGAGGAAGCTGGACGGGATGAGTCCTTCGTAGCACTCAGCCAGGTCGACACGGGTTTCAAAGGTATGGGTGTTTCCAATTGTTCGCCGGCGCCTGTGGGGATGAGTACAGGCGAGTCTAGTCGCCAGGGTGTACCTCATCAAAGCGCAAGTGAGTTGCCGATCGGGACGCGGAATGTGCGATATGGCGGAAATTACTTGTGCGCTCCAACCTCCCTATAGAGACTATGAAAGCTGTCGTCATACTTGAAGGGAATTCTCGGTGAGTCGGTAACTCGCCTACTTACGTGAGGACGAGCATGCCGATATTCAGAATCGCGGTCAAGCGGATGAGTGACATACCAGATGACGGCGATGATGACGTCTGCGTACACTTTCAGAAATTCAAATATTCAGCACAGATATCCGAAGCACATGAGCAGTAAACGTTTAATTGAACCTGCAAGCACCTTGGATGAAGAGAAACAGATGCGCCGAAAACACTCTCAACGTTCCAGACACAAGTCATACTGCGCATGTATCAAATAACCGAAGAGAGGTCTTAAATAATGTGCCCTTTGTGAGAGTCTTTCGGTCGGAAGGCAGACGGCCAGTACTTGTGTCTGTAGCACCACAAAGTCGAACAAGTCGAGCAAGATCACGTGCACCAAACATCTTGGGATCATCACTCCGAGTCCGATCAACGATAATTTTTTGAATGCATTGGAGTTACCAATTCAATCTCCTGCATTGAAGTGACTTGAGCGTTCGACTAGAAGCTAGAAGATAGATATAGAGATGAAGGATCTCATCGTGGATGCTAGTATGGCCACCTTTTACTACCATCTTTCCCTACCTGACGCTCTCCCGATTTTCCTAGATTTTCCCCGCACCCTAGACCATCGTGTTTATCATCTGGGTATCAAGGCAGGCGAAGTGGCCAACAGGATCGTGAGTCTCTCATTTGAATACGAGTATTGTCAAGTGACGGATGCCGTTCAACCAGGTTACGGTGGGAGCGCCGTCCCGCGCAAACGCCGTGGCGGCCTACTTAGATAGCTCACCAAAGCCGTTCGTCCTCTCGTCAGAACGCGGCTTCACTACAATCACAGGCAGGTACAAGGGAGTTCCGGTGTCCATCGTAAGCATTGGGATGGGACACCCAAATGCCGACTTCTTCATGCGCGAGGTGCGCGAATGCCTCATCGGCGACATGCTGGTAGTAAGGTCAATGGGAACCGTATCGGCTTTTTGTCTGTGCGCGATCTGATGGTGAGACTTGAATGCGGGATGCAAGGTTTGGGTCCTGCGGTGCTGTTATAGATGTGCCGGTGGGGACGGTTGTGGTGCCAAAAACTAGTATTTGTGTTACCAGGAACTACGATTTCCCCTTCGCCAGTGGATCATCACAGGAGTATCCGTACAAGATAAGCAGACCGGTACGCCAATACTTCAGATCAGATTGGTGGTTTTAATGACTGTGGCATAGATAGCGGCGGATTCAGAGCTTCATGCTGCAGTGCGTGTTCTTTCCGAGTGACGGAATATTGTTCATCAGCTGACAAAGACTGGCCAGCTGCACGATGCACTTAATAAGCAGCGCAGCTCAGAGGAAATGTCAGTTGTGGACCACGTTATGAATGCATCTACGGATAGGTCTGTCCTATTTCCGATACCTTCCCGCGGCATCCTTTTCTGACATTGCTCAGCTTTTACTCTTCGCAAGGACGGCAAACTTCGTTCCCAGACTACAACGCTGACCTGATAGACCGACTGAAGTCATGTCACAGAAATCTGGCCACCTTTGAGGTGAGGTTATCTGCCCGTCTGCTTCCTTTGACAACGAATTGATGGAATTCCTATCAAAGATGGAAACTTTCCACATACTCCACCTAGCTGCAAGTTGGCCGTCTGACGCGCCCTCCGCACACATCGCATCTCCCCCGCTGAACACCCTGCCAGTCTCACCCGCCGTTTCATCTTCTCATCCACTGTCTGCTCAGACGCAGCGAGCTTGCGCATTGCCCTCTGCACCCAATGGTAAGCCTTCTGTACCGGGACCGCGCATAGCCCTCTGCACCCAATGGTAAGCCTTCTGTACCGGGACCGCGCATAAGGGCGGCTGCTGCGCAGATGGTGTTCGCCTCTCGCACGTCGCAGGGTTTCATCACCCCACAGCAGGTCGGAGACGTCGAGGCGTGGGCGGGTCGGGCGGTGTTGGAAGCACTAACGGGCTTTGTGATCGACCAAGATGTAAGTAGACTTGCTTTGGAACTGCTTGGTGCTGAATTGTTTCCCATTTGCGTTCAGAGATTACACGATGAGGAGGGGAGTGTGTGGGAACTGAAGTAAGCTAGCGCGAGAATAAGCCTCGTACAAATTGAATTTTAGAAAAATAAACAAGACGCTTCTGAACTCGCTTCTGGGATCCAGCAGGCTCCCTACGTCACTGTATCACAGGTCTTGTGCGATTCGCTTTGCTTGACACTGATTTGGCAAACTGCACCCAGCCTTCGCACAACTTGTGTCAGTTTCGCGCTCTTCGGGTGGTTAGCTATGGTTTCAAAGCCATTTCGAGTTCCAGCGCAATCCCATATTGCAACGCAAGCCTCCTCCCTCCCTCTCCGCCTCGCGTAATGCCACCTACCGGATTTCTAGCTACTTGTTACGTGGTGACGAAAAGCCACGCCACGTACGCAATGTGATCAACGTCCTACAAGCTATCACTGCTGGCTCGCAAAGCACTTTTCGGGGCTCGTGCACAGCTGAGACAACGATGCCACGACTCGGTGCCGTTCGACACGTACCGGGCGATGCTGGCGCCCGTTCTGTTCCCCACCTGACAGTCGATCTGACACGCTGCACCCGCACTGGCTTCTGGCTACCTTGAACAGCTCGCCTTCGCGCAACTGGCCCAGTCTCTGATCAATCGACGGCAACGTGAAGGCCATCCGTCTCGCTGATGTTACCACTGCCGGCGAACCCCATATGCCGTGACCCTGACACGCTCCGCCTCCAGCGCAATGGTGCCCTGCATGCCCAGAACCTCTTCCAGGACATGGTGGACCGCCTCGCCGCGCAACAAATACCCTGGAGATAGCTCTGTGGTTCTGTTCACCGCATTAATGTTATCTGGGATGAAGAATGGGGCGACAGATAAGCTGCTGGCGACGATAACGAGTCTGCCAGTGGTAAGGGCACAACTTTGGTGGCTGAGGGGGCCACTTCACACGACGCAAGCGTCCAACATGATCGACCTTAAAGCTTGGAATGTCAGTCACTGCGATTGGCTCTGGTCTATCTATGCATTTTTTGTTTAGAATGCCACAATTGTACTGTATGCCCTCTGCTTTGCTACGATCATAGCGCCTATGGCTCGTAGGTCATCGTCCGGGGTGATCCGCTGGGCAGCGAATGCGGACGGTCCTCTTTTCTGGGTTGGAGTTGTGGATTTGGGGTTGCTCCTTCTGTATCTTTTATTGTCATACCAAAAGGCCATCCACGAGAAGGGCAGAGTTACCGCAGCTCTCCGGAGGTTCGGCGCTAGCGGACTGCTCACGAATTCCTTAGATTAGAGATCATCGCGGTTCTCTGCTGGCCGTGATTTTGGATTAGGACATTTGTACGTTCTCCGCTACGCTGCTCTCGCGCTCTCGTACGTATTATCCATGTCGATATAATAATCTCCGCTCAATACAGCCATGGTTCGGTCTCTATGGAACTCCGCTCTGGGATGTTCGGTAAAGAGCGCTGCATTTCATGCATATGAACGACACGGTACACGTGAGCGCGTGAACATCCACGCGCCTGCCGTTTCTACGCGTACCTCCCCGGCAGGACGCCTTCGAAGTCGACGCCAGCGGCATAATGCTGTCTCCAGCCTACAAGTTGGGCTGCACTCCCTGCTCGCCTTGTTCGCTCTTCCGACTCCAGAGTCATGTCAGCTAATCCTACCTCTGATGGACCATTGTCCATGTCGACGAGGGTGAAACGACTTGTGGTACCCCCATTCTAGCTCATGCACACCTCACGTAACATCTGACCGTATTTATTATCTGGGCACCTACAGTCCTCCGATCATGTATGGATACCGGCCGCCACTGGTGGCGCCTGCCTTCTGTTAGGAGGTGCCATCGCGAGGTTCCGGCCGCAGTATGGGCGAGTGTTCGACCGCCCTTGGTACAACGTGACGACCATCACGGTCGCATTTACGGCGTACCCGTATATGTTCTGGAAAAGGAAACTGATGGCGGAGGAAGCTGGACGGGATGAGTCCTTCGAAGCAATCAACCGGGTCGGGTGGGATCTTGTGCAAAATGAGCGCGAGTTGCGTCGTGGGGCATTTACAAGTCCTGCTATGAACGTGCCTTCTTCGACGACCATTGCCAGTCCACAGAAGTCGTCTACAGGTGAGTAAGACGAGGGGTGCGAAGCATGTACTTCATGTGCCTTGCAGACGGAGAACAGCATGGCAAAATTTTAGAAACGATCACTGCGTGGACTCACCACGTTTGGTCCTTCCCATCTACGCGCAAGCGAGTGCACACTCTCCTGCAGCCCATGCTCGAAGCGGAAGGTGTATCCCCATACGACATAGATGTCTGCGTAACGCATCTGGCTAACACCGTTGATATCTACACGTGGAATGTACGTGGTGTCCTCGACAATGCCAGTGCTAAACTGACGCCGCGTTCATCTAATGGTCTCCATTCGTCCTCTATCGGGCGCTTGTCACTGGAATGTGCATTTTCCACAGGAAGTAACAACTGGCATGTTGATCACTCTCATGGGTACCGTCGCGGGAGGCTTCTTCTCTAGGAAGTCGTTGCCACGTGTGTCCAGTGCTCTGAACATTGCCCACGGCTTTACTGTGTGGTCAGGATTAGTCGTCCTCTGCAGCATCTACCCGTATCTGCTCCAACTGTATCCAAGGTCCATGCGCGACAGGCGCCGTGTCGCAGCGGCCATGGCACGATTCCGTGCCACTGGCACTCTGCCACTTGCACGCAAAACTTGATTACGACGTACGTTGTGTAGTTCCGCCATACAGATTTGACGGACCCTGTCTTCGCTACGTACCTTGGTACTGTGATGCTCTCCGGCTTTCTAGCTACACCATGATTTGTTCTGCTTACGTTTCTTGCAACCATACCCTCCTCTCATCCACTACATACCTTGTTACTGTCGTGCTGTCATGCTCTCCTCCTTTCCTGCTATGATACTGTGACGAGCTCTGCTCACGTTTCTTGCAATCACACCCTCCTCTCAGGCGATCGACTGGTGTGGCTGCCCCGACAAAAAGACATTCCATGAGACAGTAAAATCGGAAGGGCCAGAACATTGACTTCGGAGCCGCCACTGTACTGGTATGCCGACGTGGGAACGTATGACCGCTGAGATGAATATTACGATCGTTGTCTGCATACAAAGATCGAACACAAATCATTATGACGATGCGGTCTGGCTGTATAATATTGCACTGACCGCGAACAATTCCATGTTGAACATAGGAACTAGAGACTCTGATGGTCTCGAGTTGGTCTTGAGATCCATAAATGTGAAGGTTTAGGCTCGAAGTGGACTCTGCCGTTGACTCGCCATTGGGCAGACAATGCCACTATGAGAAAATTGAAAGAGAAAGTTCTGCGAAGTGTTGTGCGTTACACTGCAGCTCGCCTGACGCCGACATCTAATGCAGGCCCGTTGATTATCCATAACCTAACGCCATGGGCAGCAATGACAGCATCATCCCTCAAGCCCGCCATCTGGTGCCAAATGACATTGTGCTCGCGCAGAGCTGTCCATTCATTTTCAATACGGGACGCATACAATACAAGGACAGACTACCGACCCTTCTCGTACACTCATCGTGCAGAACGTCCGGATCAAAGAGCCGTGGTGGGCCTCAGGCAGGATTCGTATCACCTCAGAACGCGCGAGAAGTTGTAGTGAGACGACCATGGACTGCTCAGGCTAGCAGGTGTCATAGCGGTTCGGCAGCCGAGATATACAGCACTGAAGAGAGTATCAACTGGATGTTGTTGTGGGAAGAATAAATACCATACCGTTGTTTCCACGAATGAATGCGTCCCCGTATCGGTTGGTCGCCCTACCGTTGACGTGCTCCTCCGTCTGCTCCAGCGCGATGTTCATGTACCCATCTAGACACGAAAGAACACCTACAGCACAAAATGAATGACAAGAAGTAAGATAGACGGTAGCGTTATTTCTTGAACCCAACTATAGAGAAAATCACGCACCTCTGTAATCTACGCCAGAGGTGAGACGAACGACCACTCGTTTGCCTACAACGCCCTTCAAAAAGTCTGTTGGAGATCCTGTGGTCGGAGCAGGTGGCGGGGGCTGTGGAGGTGCTTCTGCAGGAACAGGAGGTGGTGGAGGGGTCGCGTCGTCGTCCATCGTCGCGGTGCTCGTCGTCAACGTCCGTTGCCGTTGCGGGAGTGAAGAGGCGTGGGATTGTCGGGAATAGCCGAAAGCCGCGGGTAACCGGCAAGTATGATATCATGACCAATGTTGTGTGAATAAATGTTCTCGGCCGTTCGCTGAAACTTGTCCGTGACTCTGCTCGTGCGGAGATGTTCTTGTCTGCTGCGACATGGATTCTCCAGGACCACAACATCGTTACGACCCACGCCTGGGCGACGAGGAGAAGACAGAAAACCATGACCAGGAAGTTCCCAACCACCGCGTCCCGAAGCATGTGCGCTTGTCCGAGCAGATTCCTCGCTCTGCAAGCCCCAATGACAAGGAGGGCAAGGGCTCGTCGTCGGGCGGTCAACCCGAACCTGCGAGATTACGGGTCGTGCTCGGAAAAGTGGCGGCGTACAGCCCGTTCGACTTTAAGTGGATACCGAATAACTTTACGTGGTCGAAACTCAAAATCGTGATTCGCTGCGCCATCATGGCTTGGGTATCGTTGATGTTCATGATTATTCCACGGCTGGCAAAACTGTTGGGACAGGTGAGTGGCTCAGTCAATCGTCTTGCGTGCGCCAAAACGGCGGGCTTCGAGCAAATGTTACATTCGCGGTCGAATTGCGTCGTTAACGTGGCGCATTCGGCGGCGGCGAATGATTCATTGTGCAGCGTATTGGTATACGCCACTACTCTTTCTATGACTGCTTTTCAACGCCAAAAGTAACACCCACAAACTTATAGTCTCCTTCGTTGTAGGCGAGCTTCTTGATTATGATAGGCCAGTAGTCAGCTCGCTTTTACCGTGCTCCGGAGTTCTTGAATAACAAGATTTGCAGCTGCGTTTCTCAATCCTCCTAGACAACCATTCATTGCAGTATTGGAACAAGAGCTGATCTTCCTAGGCCTTATTACTACTGCTTGGGCGTAAGTATTCATTACAGAAAGTCTTTGCTCTCCCATTTACGTCTGACCCTGTCTAGATGGAGCTGTTTGGGCATATTTCTTGCAAATCTAGCCCGCACGCATACCGATCACAATGCCAGTCCGGCAACTATCATTACGGGACGATATATCGAAGCTGGGCCGACAGTTATCATGGCAGTATTCATCTTCATTGGCGTCGCGGTGATGTTATTTATCAGGAGCAAGAAGGGCCCAGGTCCCTTCCTCTTAGCCTCTATATTCAGCTGTATCTGTATCGATTTGACACTCACCACAGCCGTCCTATATCCATACCCATTCTACCTTATCGGCTCAGCCATCCTACTGCCGCTGTCTTTCCATGCCGCACTGTCGATATTGTCCGCAGCGATAATATTCCCCTCCACAATCACAGCGCAATACACGAACGCATTGGCGGGCGCTATGGACCCGCTCAACCACGCCCTAACCGAGCACCGGACGATCTTGAAGACGCTCGCAAACGCTCCTTCGTTTCCTATTGCCGTCAAACGCATTTCAGGGCTCGTGTCTAAGGCCGAGGGCGGCCTCGCTCCCGCCTCTGCATCTTTACGCCTGATGAAGCGCGACATTGTCTGGGGTCGTTTTCCACCGTCCGAGGTCGGTGGGCTGCAGTGGTGGGTGCGACGCCTCGTCATGCGCGCCAACGGCATGGGCATATTCTTCACGCTTATTGGGCCAACTCGAGAGCGTTTCCCTGTCACGCCCCTCCCCTCGCACCCCAGCACCCCGGTGATGGGCAATACACCAATTCCTTCGCGCCCCATGACCCCATCTCCTCTCAGCCCCGCAGCGTCGCGCCCGTCATCCCCGCCTCCATTCAGCCCTCCCGGAACGCCGCGGAACAGCCGCCCCCTACAGTTGTCGAACCAATCCGCCCGGCGGCGCCGACCGAACTCGTCGCAGGACCGCCTGCACACGTCCTTCCGCCAGACACTATCGCGCCAGCTCCACATCAAGCTTGGCAAGCACGCGGAGGACACGCATGATCGTCATCTCCATTTCTCCCTTCTCACTCTTGCGCATTCCCTCGCGCCGACGCACGTCAGTACTGCGTCGTCCCTCGAAGCCTCCGTCGGTGTTTTTGAGTCCCAGCGCTACCTTACGCTAGAGGCGACGCGCTTGTCGCATCACGACTCGCCTGAGGCAACGAACCAGTTTATGTCCCTTCTCGGAGAGAGCTGTGATGATTTGTTGGGAGCCTGCTCGGATTCGCTGAAGGGTGCGCAGGGGTGGATTCGGGAGGTGCGCAGAGGCAACTTTGGATCGCGCGAGAGGATTGAGAAGGCGCGCGGTGAGCGGTTAAAGCACTTAATGGCGCTGAAGGAGCAACTCGGCCAAGAGCTGGAGTGTTTCAGGAAGCAGTCCAGGTATGAGAGATCAGATCTGTCCGAGTATTGTCTTGATCATACTCTCTTTTCTCAGACATCGAGTACTGGATCCTTATCGTTCAGCCTTCGATCCGAGACGCGTGGGTTCGCCAGAGGGCGCTATTGAACCGCCGCCGCACAGATACCTATTCCATTGTTACGTTTATCAGTTCCACTTGACGCAGTTCGGGCTGGTGCTCACTGACCTGGTGAGTGCTCTTACTATGCCATTCCATCCTTCATGCTGATCGGCTGTTCATGCAGCTTGATGAGATTATTCGCATGGAGCAAGAGTATAAGCGAGCTCGTCTTTGGACCCCGTCATTACCTATCCGCAAGTGGCTTCAATGGGGTCCCTGGGACCTACAGTCAGATATAGACCGTAGCGACGATGAAGATCCAGGTATGTTGCTGAGCAACGTAGTCGTCGTGTGGTTTTATCTGAATTTTTGCCTCTTTTTTCAAGATGTCATCCCTGGCATTCCACCGGAATGGCTCACCGACTTAGGAATGGCTTCTCGACGAGATCCTGATGCACTCCCTCCATCAAATATATTCGAAGAGGTAATGCATTGGATACATGAGATCATTACAGGTCTGGGCGGTGGCAATTCTCTGTATGCGCTCAAGGCAGCGTTGTTGACAAGTTCAGTTAATATTGTGTCTACCTCCGCGTTCTCGTCTGACTCTTTATTAGTCATATTGTGCATTCCTAGTTTCCTGAAGAGCACCGCTTCGTTCGCCTATGGTATATTCACAGTGTCATCTGTCCGTGCAAGATTCTGACCCATTATTTTCGACAGCACAAAGATTTGTTTGGGGAATGTAAGTGCATGGTGATCTCTTGTGCAGTGCGCGCTTTCACCAATGTCTACAGCTTCATGGGCCAATTATCCCTCGCGCGTTTCCGCGGCGACACGACATTTGGACTTGTCGCACGGGTGATGGCTACATTCCTGGGTGGTATTTGCGGAATGGTCATGTGGTAAATCGGACCCTTTGGTCGTTTATCGCTCAGACTTACTACTGACATTTCATCTCACGAATAGGTATATTTCTACTGGTAATGGCAGAGGCAGCTACTACGGTCTCGCAGCAGTCTGTGCAGTCTGTTTCCCACTCTTCTATTATGGTCGTCTGTATTGGCCGGGTCCGCCTATGACAAATACTATCTTCTTCGTCACCACAGCACTGGTATGCCCTTCTCTGCGATTTTTGTTTCAATCAGGGTGACACGAAATGATATCATGTTATAGGTGTTCGGATACTCGTGGCAAGATACGCACTCTACTGTGGCGTTCCATTATTACGGGTGGGGCCTTGCCTGGGTAAGCAAGATTGTGTGTAATTGTTCATTCAACTGACGGGTGTATCTACTTGGATGTAGCGCAGATTTGTACTGGTGACTGCAGGAGTTACTGCGGCGTTGTAAGTGTATCTAACAAATCCTGGAGAACATTTGATTTTAACCTCGACTCGCGAAGTATATTTTCCTTCCTCCCGCCTTCTACGACGCTTCGCCGATACCAGCGCACTATGTTGTCAACAACGGTCGCGGAACTCGGGAGCGTATACTGCTCAATTGTATCATTCGCGAATACGCATGGCCGTCACAGCGTTGACAAAGGAGAAATCAATCAAAGTCTCATGGCTACCCGAATCAAACTGAAGCGATCTCTAGTGCTGAAAGCGAACATTATCTATGAGGTTTATCTCTTCGTCATCAGAGTGCGCTGCACCTCATCGCATACTATATCAGTTCTCCTTGCGAGGAAAATGGCCTTCGAAGCGCTACCAGAAGATCCTAGAGCTGCAATTGTTCGTGCTCGTTTCTGTATCTCAATTGCACCACTGACTCCCGACTTCAGACAAATAGCGTATCTGCTGTCACATCTGATGTCCGTTGTGGAGCATTTGGAACCGGCTTGGTCTCGCGCATTCTTACGCAGAACGCGCTTCCTAGACTCCGACTTCCAAGGCGATGTCCTCGCTGTTATCAGTACGCCGCCTTGCAAAGGCTCCTATCGTACCTTCTAATCATTCTCCAGGCATGATTTCCACATCGCTCCGAACAGGAAACCCCTTGCCCCAGATTTCGCCATGTCCACTGCTGGATCGCTTCATGATATACACTCACGGTCTGAATGTTATCAGACAGGAGGCTGATGACGACTATGGATTGCCACGCACGATGACGATCGACACCTTAGAGAACGAACAATATCTGTGAGTGTGGGCCCTCGACTACCTGTGGCTTTGTTTGTGTCCCGCGCTCATGTTGTACCTTCAGGTGTTTCTCGGTGGGAGTGACGACTGCGTTTGGTATTGTCATGCGGTTGGACAAACTCATGCTTGCCACCAAGGAGTTGGTAGGGGAGCAATACCATATTCATGGTATTGGCTTGTCGGGACCACGGGATTTTTTGGAGTCGGCTTCTATTAGGCCGTCGAAGGACGCTTGAGACGTCTTCACGCGCTGTTGTGATCTTTCAAGGACTTGTCCAGCACGTCATTCGCTATCCTACGTTCTACTACCTGTAACACCTTTATACGTTAGACGCACTAATAGCACCCAGAGTACCGGACGGCAGGCACAGGACTTGGCAAGCAGTCGCCAAATTCATGTACAGAACGAAAACATTGGACGATTGTGAGATAATTTACTACATACAATACTACAAGTTATAGCCCACATCATGATATGGAAAAGATAGAGAAGAAGCTTAAGGGTGAAGGGAGTCGTAGACATGGGTCGTAGATACACCTACTTGAACGATCGATGTGTACCGGAATGCGTGATATTGCAATATATCGACTTGACGAATAAAAGAACGAACAGACCATGGCCCTCCCGACTGAACCTAGCTTCTCGGAAGAGAGATGGCGGGGACGGAGATGCCAGCTGGGAGCGCTGACGACAGAACGCGAGACTGGGTCTGGCGTTTCACTTGCGCTTCCAGTTTGCTGCGCTGCTTGCGTATATCTTCGTCCTTCAGCTTCACCGAGAGTGCGAGATCGATCAGGGCGTCCGGAGTCCGAGGTAAATAATTAGCGGGTGGATGCGATAGAATAGCGAACAGGGGGTCGTGTCCAGCACATTTGAGTAGCAATTGACGACAGCATGTTAACAACGCGATACCGATGCGGAATAAGAACGGAACTCCTGAAGAGCCGAGCGTGAGGAACGACAGCGTGCGAGATGGGAAGACGTACCCTCAAACAGAAATACATCCCAAACACGATGGAAGTACTCGGGAGAAAGAGCACCGACAAACAGAGACGTAAACCTGCCGAAAACAAATGTCCAGCGCTGAATGTGAACAACCGCAGAAGAAACGCACCATGGTCTGCACACGCTGATAGGTGAGACTGCCATATCGAGGAAAATCTTCTTCGCCAACGCAGAATCATTCGCTTCTACAGCCTTACCAAACAGAGCAGCATCCACGTCCAGTTGTATAGCGTTGGATGAGAAATAGGGACGCAGATGAGTGTCCATAAGTGAGATGAAAGTCCAGAAAGCATCTTCTTCGGGCGACAGCAACAAGAGCTGGCTTGCGATGGAACAGAGACCTAGCGCAATAAATACCCTGAAGTGAGTCACGCAGCATCACGATGAGCTATCTATCGCACAGACCTCGCGAATACTGTATATCTGGAACCATAGACAGATACGCTTGGAGGACATTCATCAGAGAATCATCATGCATCACCGGCAGGTGCACAGAAAGCTGGCGAACATCGCGCTCGATGTCCGCAGACGCGGCTACCTTTTCCCGTTGGAGCAGCCGCGTATATAGGCCCTCCATGCGTTTCGCCTTGCTGTCCGTCAGGTGCGCCCATACGAGGTAGCGAACGGACGCGGGTACGCCTTCCAACACCATCTTGCGGACCTTCTTGCTCTTCCGTGCCTGGGAGGGCGACACGGATGACATCGTCGAGATCCACCTCAGTTCCCGTTGGCGATGAGCCTCGATGTCCGCAGCGTCCATCACTTTGTGCGGCCTGGACTCCGGTGGAGCCTGATCTACATATGACGTTCTCACCACAGCATGCGGGCTCGGCGGCGGCGGTGCAGGGAGCTCCCCAGACGTCGGGTTCGCGCGCTCCTGCAGCGCACTGGGCAAGGGCAGCGAGTCCACGCTATTTTCCGCGAGCGGCGACTGCGGTATCCCGGGCCTGACCATCTCAAAGTCCATGTCCTCCACCTGCACCGTCTTCTGATCGCGCTCGAACGAGCGCACGCTCGACGAGGGACTGCGTTCTTCGTGCTGCAACAACTGCACCCGCAGCGCCGACGTCGATGTCGATATTCGCGACAGTCCTTGGGTAGGCCGAGAAGGGCCGGATGCTAAACTGGACATGATAGACACCATGTCGTCCACCCGCTTTGCATCTTCGCCCGATCGGCGCCCTTGCGACGACATGCTCCGTGGCGGCAGCTCCGCGGCGGTGGTGGTCTTCCCCGGACTTGATGTCACAAACGACTTGCTGTGTCGGATGACGGGCACGGAATTCGCCTTTATCGGTGGGAACTTCGGGGTGAGCGAAGACCGTGGGGCACGCTCGTCCTCAAGGATCGTTCCGATCGTCGAATGCGGAGGCATGACGGGTTCTGCGGCAACGGCAGCGGCACTTTTAGCATGAGGACCACCGGATCCACCTTGCTGTAAAGTAGCAGCAACAGGCGTTCCTGGCGGTGAGAGTGCAACCGGCGAGGTGACGGCGGATCTCGTTGACGGATTTGGGGACGGATTTGGGGATGGCTGCGGCGACGGCGCGTGCGGATACGCAGCGACGACGTTGTTCTGCGAGAGCGAGAGCGGCGACGGCGCATGCACAGCGCGCACCACCGTGGCGGAATGCGAGACCGTCGCGCGCTGCGGCGCAGGGAGGGACACCGGCGCCATCGGCACCGCCGCGAGCGCAGACTTGGACCGCTTCGTCAGCATCGGCATCGAGGGCGAGGATGCACGCAAGCCGCCTTCCTCTTGGCTACAACAGAACAGCATCAAAATACCGACAGAGACAGAACGCGCGCACACACTCACCTCCGCTCGTTCGGCAGCGCCCCCGGCTCGAACGGCGTGTCGAACCCAGAAAACGAGCGCGACCGCGGCCGCACCGTGCTCACCTGCGGGAAGAAGTTCGCACGCGGTATGGCCTTCGCAGGCCCCTCCGACTCCGCCCCCGTCTCCGCCGTCTGCGGCATCGCGCGCTCGCTCTCCGCCGCCTCCGCAGGCAGCGGGGGAGAGCTCACCAGCGATCCCCGCAGCGAGCGCGACACCCCAGGCCTGTGCGCGGGCACGTTCATCTGCGGCTCGAGCCCAAACGAGATCGGCACGGGCCCGACGGCGCTCGCGAGGTCGTGCTCGAACAGCCCGTAGATCGTCGTCTGCCGCGGCCGCCCCGTGCTCAGCGCGAGCTGCAGCGCGTGCACGACCGAACCAGGGGGAGGGCCGACATGGGACGGGAAATGACTGGGGCTGGGGACGGGCTGGCGGCCGTATAGTGGCCCTGCGGGCGAGTGCGTCGGTTTCGGGGCGTGGGGGTGGGGGAGGAAGAGGCTCGTGCGAGCGTTTGGGGACGGAGGCGGGCGGTTAAGGTTGAGCGGGCGGGGAGCGGGCGATGCGTTGTTCCGGGTACTCTGGGAGCTCTGCGGGGGTTGGTGAGGGAACGACGGTGAGAGCGGGGATGAGGCCAGGCTTTGGGGAGAGGGCGAGTTGAGCAGGCGGGGAGTGGGCGGTGCGTTGTTCTGGTTATTCTGGGAGCTCTGCGAGGTTTGGCGGGGGAATGATGGTGAGAGCGGAGATGGCGCGAGGGGTTGGGGAGATGGTGAATTGAGCGGGCGGGCAGCGGGCGGCGTGTTGTTCTGATTACTCTGGGAGTTCTGCGGGGGTTGGTGCGGGAACGATGGCGAGAGCGGGGACGGCGTGAGACGCCGGGGAGATGGTGGATGGGGAGACAAGGGCGTGTACGGGGGCGGCGGGGCTGAACTCGGCTCTACGGAATTATCATCCTCGGCGACGATGTTCCGGCCAAACGCTTTCCGGTCGTCCGCCCGCACCGCTTCCTCATCGCGTTCCCGCACAACGGGATTCATCGTGCGCGGCCCGCGCTCCAACTCCAGCCTCTGCCTCGCAGCAGACGCCGCACCGCCAGCGCCAGCCGGGTAGATAGCCGAAGGGAACGTCGACGCGAACGACTCTGACGAGCCCGGCGTCGGAGACTGCGCCGGCGAGCCGAACGCAGCATGCAGCAGCGGGAACGGCGACGGCTCGCTGACGAGCGACAGCGGCGACGGCTTCGCCCTCGCCGCGCGCTCAGATGCGTTGACGACGTTCAGCGGCGGGTGATCAACGACGGGATCGACTGACGATTGGCCGGCGGAGCCAGAGCCCGACCTCGTCCGCTCTCTGAACGACTCCACCGACGGCCCACCGCTCCCCACCCGCTCTCCAAATTCTCCAGACGGGCGTTCGCGCACGGGGCCGTGCAGGTCCGGCGGGACGGGCGGGACCGCCGGGCCCGACGCGAGCGAGAGGAGCGAGCCCTTGGACATGCGCGACGCGCGGGACGCGACGGAGAAGCGCGAGTAGCGGTAGTTGTCGTAGATGTCCGACGCGCCCTCCCACTCCGAGCCGCCCGCCTCCGAGTCGTGCAGGGACGGCCGCAGTGACGCGCGCGACGGCGACGGCGGCAGCGCGGACGCCGAGTACTGCGATAGCGCGCGCGCGGGGCGGTCCACGTCCGTGCGGGGGGCCGGTGCGTCTGGCGGCGAGCCCGCGCTTGTGTTGGGACTCGTGCTGGGACTCGGCGTGCGCTCCTCGACGGGCGGCGTCTCGGTGCCGCTCTGCCGGCTGCTGCTCGCGAAGCTGGCGTCGTCGCCGGAGCCGGAGCCGGAGCCGTCGTGTCCGCCCATGAAATCTTGCAAGAGCGAGAGCCCGATCCCGAGCTCCCCATCAGAAAGCGCAACAGATATCCGCGCGCTCGCGTCCGTCTCGTCGTAAACCGAATACGACTCGTCGTGCAGACGGAGCGAGACGTTCTCGCTGGGCTCTTCCGTCGCTTCGCGCGTATTGGTGTCGATGAAGGTGTCGGGAGTGAGTGGGCTGCGCTTCGCGCTGGGCTCCTCCGGCAGCGCGAGCGGCGAGAGCGCGGGGGCGCGTATGGCCGGCGACCCCGGGTGATGGGAGCTCGCCGCGCTCGCCACGCGCACCTCGTCGCGCGGGAAGTCCGCGGGCGAGATCGGCGCGGACTCGAGGGCGGTGGAGATGGACGAGTGGCTGGCGGAGCGCGCGCGGTCCTCGTCCTGCAGCGCGCTCTGCACGCGGAGCGGTGAGGCGTGCGGGGACGGCGAGGCGGATGCGGACGCGGAGCGCGGGAAGCGCGGGGCGCGCGGGGAGCCCGAGGAGGAGACGGTGGACATGGAGTAGCTGTGCGTGAGCTGGGCGGCGAGCGCGGGGGACGCGGTGTCGCGCGCGGAGAGCGCTGTTGCGCTCTGGGAGGAGGAGCGGCGCGAGCGGGTGGAGGCGAGCGAGGAGGAACGTTTGGCAATGACGGGCTTCTTCAGCCGGCTGTGGAACTGCACGTCCGAGCCGCTGAAACGGCCTACGACACCTTCGCAGTAACCCTGGCCACGAGTGAAGGGGTGGAGGTCAGCAGATGCGTGCAAGGAGACGAGCGGGGTACGTACGAGATAAAGGTCATCCTTCTCTGGCAGACGCATGAGCACGGTTATCTCGTCGTCCTGAAATTGCATTGTCTAACGAGGACTCGCAATGACGAGAGTATGAAACTTACTTTCATGAACATGAGATCCTCCGACTCCTCCGCGACACAGTCCTGCAGCGCTGTGCACTTGCCGATGCCGCCCTTGGCGGCGAAGCGGGTCCAGCGGCCGAGCTCGGTGGCGTCCATTCGCAGGCGGTGGAGTATCAGAAGTTGTTAGCAGAATTTGACAAACGGTCGGCCAGGACACAGCTAGACGAATATATAGCAGACTGGGAGAGCGTCGATTCGGAGACGCATAGACTTGATACGTGTCAACCTGAAACGGCGGCAAGAGCACCGGATAGCACAGGTGGTTATATGTACGAGTTGCTTGCGGCAGAAATGAGGGGAGGAGGAAAGGAGCGTGGACGGTGTGGACAGCACCGAGGAGCCTGAGACCGTTGCGGGCGAGAGTATGCACGAATTATTTACGTGGCTTGCAATTTAATTTTTGGACGGGGTTGTCCGAGTCCCCGGCGGTGGTCCGCGGACCGCGTCTTTTGCTCTGCGACCTCGCACTCGCGACGATGCCGCCGATGGCGTTCACAGGACTGGTCACGAAAGTGGGCGTGATGAACAAGACGGCGACGGTGACCGTCTCGCGCTTCATCCTGCACCCCAAGACCGGCAAGGTTTATTATAGTTGATAATCTGCTCTCTCGCTCGCGGTAACTAACCGTCGTGTGCCAGAGACTCGAGCGCAGCAAGAAGTATCTCACCCACGACGAGAACAACCGTGCGTCCGCTCCTCTCACGATTACCTGCGCACGTTGACCGCCCGCGCAGAGCTCCGACTAGGCGACACCGTCCTCATCCGCAACTGCCCGCCCATCTCTGCCCGCAAGCGCTTCACCCTCGAGAACGTCCTCAAGAGCCCCGAGGCCGAGCGCGACGAGCTGCACGCGCGTGCAGCTGCCGAGCAGCACCAACACCTCCCGCCCTCGCGCCCGTCCTCGTCCGAGGACGCCTCTCTGTAGCACGGTGCGTACCCCTCTCCGTCGTTATCCCTTCGGGTAGAACTAAATTTTTATGCGTACATACGTAGGAATACACGACGCCGCCATTTCTATCACACCGACTCCGCCCCTCACGCCGTGACCGTTGCGGGTGCGGCCTGCGGGCCGCCCTGCTGCTGCTGCATCGCCATCTGCATCTCCACGAGCTAGACGCAAAAGTAGCATGTAATCGTTAGCAACGGAGGCACAAGCGCATACAGCCATAATACCATGGAATAGAGTTGGGACGCAGGATCGTAGCATAGCAATGACGCACCTCCAATTGCAACTTGTCCGACCTCTCCTTGAGCCCCGTCAGCTGTTGCTCGAAACGCTTGCTGCAGTGTCAAACACGAGTAAGTAGGGTATATACACCTCGAGAGCAACGCAGCACGCAGCACGCACATCTCACTCCGGATGAACTCGAGCCTTTTATCGACGTTCGCCCGCGCGTCCACCTGGTCCTGCTTCACCAGCGCGCTCCCAATCAGCTTGTACACCACGTTCTCCGGCGTCAGCTGCGCGAACTCCTGCGTGCCCGTTCAGTCCGGGTATGAACTGTGTGAACCTCGGGGCGCGCACCTTCTGCACGAGCTCGTTCTCGGAGAGCTGCGCGTTGAGCCGCTGGCTCGCCTCCACGGCGGTCGATATCTCGTTCTGGACCTTCTGGTACGCGTCCGCCACCGTCTGCGCGCGGTCCTGCAGCGCCCGCAGGTGCGAGACTGAGCTTGAGGAGGAAGACATTTAATAATGCAGATGTGCGGCAGTGGCCGATCCGAGTCCTGGCTCAGGTTAATCGCCCAAATCAGGCAGGTCACCTTCTTCAAATGGAAGGTTTGTAAGCACCACCGGCGGAATTTTTGCGCGACGACAGAGAAGAAAATAATACATTCGTCCATGCGATGCAGTGACAAAAATCGTCTCTTGACAAGGTCCGTGTAGCCAGACACAGAGCTCGAGAAAAATGACGATCGCTACAGTAGACTGTCCCAATCTGTGTGGTCTCGCAGCGAGCGGCACCAGGCCCGCGCCAAACACCTACAAATACCACTACGCGCGCCAATTTAATGTAATCCCTCCTGCCAAGTAACCACTACTGACATCCCGCAGCAGGCGCTGTGCGCTGGTCGTCCCCTTCTCGACATCCTTCCACCACAGCCGCGACGATGGACAACTCGCCGACGGCGCTGTTCGACTCGTACGAGCAGGACTTTTCGCAGATCCTCCAGAGCATCCAGGACAAGCTCAATGGAGAGGCCAAGGACCAGCAGGGCGGTGAGCTCGACCCAGCTGTCGTCCCTATCCTCATATGCTAATGTTATCCTCCCGCGTGCTAGAGCAGCGCAAGGCCGCGCTGCGCAGAGTAGAGATGGAGCTCGACGAGGCGGACGAGATGGTGCGCACTCCTTCACCCTCCCAATCCGCCCTACCTGACGATCCCGACACCGCCGACACTGCTGACATACCGACACCCGCCAGGTCTCGCAAATGGAAATAGAGGTCCAGGGCATCCCGCAGTCCCTCAGGCCCTCGTACCAAGCGCGCATCAAATCCGCCAAGGCCGCGCTCCAGCAGCACAAGAAGCTCTCCAAAGACCTGCACGCGCAGTTCTCGCGCGCGGACCTCCTCGGCTCCCGGGCGGGCGAGGGCGCGCCTTCGGACGACCCGTACGGCGGCGCGAGCGACCGCACGCGCCTGCTCGCGGGCACGGCGCTCCTCGAGGACGGCTCGCGCCGCCTGATGGAGAGCCAGCGCATCGCGCTCGAGACGGAGGAGCAGGGCTCGGATATCCTGCGTAGCTTGCGCGGGCAGCGGGAGCAGATCCAGAATTCGCGCGATACGGTGAGCTGTGCCCCCCCGCCCTCTTTCTTCTGTGTGGTGGGGCAGAGCTGACGTGCACGCCGACAGCTGCAACGGGCGGATACGTCGATAGACCGTGCGTCGGGGACGCTCAAGAAGATGATTAGACGGTGCGTGCGCGCGTCGCCCTCTCTTGCTTCTCCAACGCGTCTGACAGATGGATCTGACGCTGTGCTCCGCTGCGTATTGCAGGATGTACCAGCAGCGCGTCGTCATTGGGGCCATTGTCGTTGTGCTCGTCCTACTCATCGCGATCATCCTGTGGGCAAAGCTCTGGCGGTGAGCGGCGCCTGCAGCTGTCGGATATCCCCCACCCGCCAAACGGAGTGCTGCGGACTTGGTTGTTTTATGGAATTATATATTGTGTATATCCCGTGTGTTTCTCTCTCGGTACCGTGTTTACGGCGTTTCGCGAACTATATCCTAGCCAGAGCATGAGCGTTCGCAGACGCGTTGCGCGTCTGCTGCAGTCGGCACCCGGGGCGGTTTCACGGGGTCACGCCCACTGTGGGGGCGGGTTTTACATACTCGCCAGCTGCCGTCGCCCACAGTCGACATGCTTAAATTCTCGCACTGTCGACCCCGCGCTTCCCCACTCCAACCCCCTTCTGAGTAGGACGTACTGCCATGGCCGCCCTCCTGCAGTCGTTCAAGTGAATCTGCACCGTTCTCCCTTTCCCCGCGCTGCGATGCTCACGCACCTTGCAGCGCGGCCCTCGTCCGCCGGCCTATGCTCACCCAGTGCGCGACGTCTGCGGTCCTCTTTGGGAGCGGCGATGTTGTTGCCCAACAGGCGTTTGAGCAGAAGGGGAGGGAGCACGACGTGCGTATCCGTACGCGTGCACTCACGGTTCGCTTTCTGACTTGTGTTGTGGATGCAGTTCGCGCGGACCGCGCGGCTCGCGTTCTATGGCGGTGAGTGTTGCGTTCGATTCTTCTCCTGTGTCGCTGTGCTCATGCGCGACGTGCCAGGTGCGATATTCGGGCCTCTGCTCACCAAGTGGCTCCAGCTCCTCAACCGCATCTCCTTCGCGTCCCCCATCAAGGGCGTCGTATACAAGGCATGCCCCGTCCCTTCCCGTCGTTCCTCCGGGGCTAATCTCGCGCACAGGTATGGATGGACCAGACGATGTTCACCCCAGGTACGAGCTCGAAGCCTCTCCTCACACTCTACCTCTCCATCGCTGATTGAGCCCCCACCCCCCAGCGGTCATCGGCATCTTCTTCGGCTCCATGACATTCCTCGAGGGCAAGGGCGTCGCCCAGGCGCAAGAGCGCATCAGCGACGTGCGTCCCCCGCCCCCCGCCTCCGTTCACTCGCTCGTATCTTCCTGACATCGCCCGGCAGGCGTACGTCCCGACCCTCGTCCGCAACTGGGGCGTCTTCGTCCCCGCCCAGGCCCTCAACTTCGCCCTCGTCCCGCCCCACTTGCGCTTCGTCGCCGTCGGCGCCGTCTCCCTCTTCTGGAGTGCGTATTCGAACTGTTGCGAGACCGTGTTCGCTGACTGGCGGTGGCTAGACTCGTACCTCAGCGCGGTCAACGCGCGGAACGCCCGCCTCGAAGCGGGCGGGGAGGGCAAAGCAGCAGTGTGATTACCCGCTATGTAGATCTCGACATCGTAGAAGGTCTGGCCTCGTAGAAAAGCGCTCGACGTGGTAGACTGGTAGCCATTACCAAGCTGTACATCCTAGATTAATATACCTCGTGCACACATATCCATACCCACCCTCCGCACCCGCCAGATCATCCCAACCCCCGAAATGCTACCGGCCTACGCCTCGACCGAGCCCGCAACCCTGTTCGTGGGACTGTCCCAGTCAATCTCCTGGCGCAGCGCACCCGTCAGGATGAGCTCCTGCGTGTACACCGCGTGACCCTGCTCGGCCAGCGGCCGCCAGATCGACACGTCCGTCGGCGACGAGATCACGTACCGGTGCGCCTGCCCGCTCAGAATGCGCGCCGTCGGTGTCTGCGTTGACAGCTGCGGTCGTAGTATAATCAGAAGGGACGACGAAAACGAATTTATGAGAGGGTTAATCACCTGCCCCCCGTTGGCGGTGACGACGTTCTTGAGCAGCTTGTGGTCGACCCCGATGCGCGGCGTCGCGTAGAACGTCATCCCTGCAAAGAGCTTCCCGGCGTGCGCGCGTCGCAACGCCTCCGCAAGCTTGAACCCGAACTTCTTCTCCGCTTCCGGGTCGACGAGCGCATAGTCGCTCTCCGCTGTGAGTTAAGTTAGCAGAAGGAAGGGGTACAACGGGAGGGGGACTCACGCAGCAGTTGCTTCGTCGCTGCGGACGCGAGGAGCCATTTCTCGCTCAGGATGTGTTGCACGACCGGGAGGGCGCACAAGAATTTCTCCGTCCGGACGACGTTATTCGTCACAAGGTGCGTGCACTCGGTCGGCTTCGTCGTCATCTTCACGCCCATCCTGGTCAGGACCTGCATAGCAGGTAAGCACGAGGAACACGCCGGCGAGCGTCGGTTCACGCACCTGTTTCACGTCGTCCGAGACCGAGAGCTGCGTCGTCATGATCCGAGCATTCTTGGGGTTTGTACGAGACCTGTTCGCTCGTCAGATTGTGAAATCCATGAAAAGTCAAAACAAGACACACGTATTCGCTGCACCCAGAGACACGCGTTTCGCACCGCTCTCAGGCTTGCGACGAGGCTTTCCTATACCAGCCTCTGAGGAGTCTTCCTCTGAGGAGGAGGAGGAATCGCGTTTCCTCTTCCCTGAACTCTGCCGCGCACCTCCTGCCACCCCCGCCTTCCCTTTCTTCGCGCTCGCTGTCCCCACACTCGTCCGTAGCCGCTTCTTCATCGGCTGCTCCTCCTGCTCTTCCGCCCCATGCTCCTCCGCTGCACCCGATACACGCTTCTTACCCCTACCTTTCCGGGCATCCTCATCAAGCGCGCCCACGCTGGCGCTCTTGCTTTTATCCCTCTCCTCAGCCTCCCACACGGAGCGCACCGTACCGTTCTTCATCTCCTTCTGGAAGTTCATCACGTCCGGCATGATCTCCTCGTGCAGCTTCCGCGTCGCCCTCGTCGCCGCCGATCGCCTCGACGGCGTGCGCGTCAGCGCCGCCGGCATGGGAGCCGTGGTAATCGTGGTGCTGTCCTCTGTGGGAGGCTGGAAGGACACAGATGAAGCAGCGCGCTTGGCGGAGCCCGACGGCCGTCCCCGTTTGGTCGGGGACTGCACGGATGCTTCTGGTGCGGCGGCGCGGACGGAGTCCGTCCTGCGTAACGCGCTCTTCGCCGGCGTGCCCTGCACGGATTTCTTTGACTTCGGGGAAGAGTACACTGAGGCGGCGGTGGGAACCAGTACGGAGACCTGCTGACGAAGTTTGGTGGGAGATGTGGAAGAGCGCGATGGCGCGACGGACTCAGGAACGGTCGCTGAGCGGGAGGCAGGGCCAGTTCTCTTCGGGTGGGCGGGCGCAGCGGAGGAGCTGGAGTCGGAGGAGTCCAAGTCGCCCTGTATCGGTAGTTTGAAGCCTTTGATGGGCTTTGGAGGCGCGTCCGCTTTCTGGGTTGGCTTCCGGCGGGCGCTGCTCTCGGCTTTGGGGGGTTCCATGTCTTCGTCTTCACTGGAGTCCATGGGGATGATGGTCTTGCGCTTTGACGGACGGACTTTCGGTGCGGGCCGGTCGTCTTCGCGTTCCTTGTCTGCTCGATTGGCTTTCTGTTTGTCCTGCCTTGGTTTCCGCTTTGGAGGTCCTATCTTCATCTTGTCCTGTGCTTCCTCCGCTTCCAGCCTGCTCTTCGACTTGTATTGTCTTAGGACAGATCTGGACGGTGACGTTATTGGCTGAAGCTGCTGCTTCTCTAGCTCTTCTGGCTCTGGAACAGAGGGCGCGACATCCGAGGAGGACTGCCTGCTGTACCGCCGCACCAGCTTCTTCTTGGGAGGCCTCGGAAGGGGAACAGACGGCACAGGGACGTTCTCGTCCTCGGCCTCGTCTTCATCAACCGTGACCACCTTCTTCTTCCCGTCGCCCTTCTTCGTGGAAGGTTTTGCACCGTGACCCTCGTCAACGTCCATCGCACCAGCATCTTTGTCCCGCGGAGGCAGGATGTCCGCGTCGACGTCCATAATGCTCGCGTCGACGACCTCGCCCATGACCACGTCCTCCACCTCCCGCGCGCTGTTGCCAGTCCGAGCCGGAGAAGGTGTCGCACGGATGTGCCTATCCCTACTTCCTTCCACTCCGTCCTCCGTCCCATTCTTCCCGAATGACTTCCCCTCCGTCAACGCGAGTGCCTTCTCCTTCGCCGCCGCCTTCTCAGCCTCAGTCCCGGGAATGCCCGCTCGCGCCATTGCGGCGAGCTCCTGCTGCGTGTATTCGAGCGGGCCGACGCCGCGCTCGCTGAGGAGACCGCCAAAGTCGACGCCGGGCGGGAAGCACAGGTATTTCTCGAGTGCGGGCGTTGGTGCGCGCCAGTGCACGAAGGCGTCCTCAAGCCAGGTGTGGTTCACGAGGGGGATCGACCAGGATACTGCTTTCGCTGTCTTCGTGCCGCCGACGCTGTGTGAGTAATGAATGAGGGGGCGTAAGAAGGGTTAAGCGGATGAGGGACTTACTATGCAGCGATGACGATCGTGTTCGTGTTGGACATGCTCGCGGTGAATTTGCCGCCCATGGTGGAGACCAGCTTCTTGAGATACTCGCGATCTTTACCGGTGTAGTTCGTGATAGTGATAGACTAATTGAACAGTGGTTAGAATCTTTCGGGTGTCAATAAATCGTGGACACTTACGTGCTCCGCAAATCCTTCAGGAGCACCTTTAGGTATCGGATAGTGCAACAATTTATCCGTAGGGCGGGAGAGTGCGCCCGTGGACCGCACATGCCACAGCCACGTCATGCTGCCGATCGTCTTCTTCGCCTTGAATGCCTTTCTCAGAGTTAGTGGTTCAGCTCCTTTTGCAGAAAGACCGGACACATACTTTGACATAGGCGACGCCCACCCTGTATCGCGTGATGAGTACGTCCGCCTGCTGGACCTGTCTGGCCTCTTCCTGCGCGACTTCGAGTAGCGTCCCAGATCCGATCAGACTGAGCGGTATTATGATGCCGCCCTCGCGGCGGATGTCCTCCTCGTGGGCGTCCCGCTGGCTCGCAGAGAGCTCCAGGGAGTCGCTGAGCAGAATGCGCAGGCCATTCCAGATGTTGCGCGGTGGCGCACGGGAAAGTCGGCGATCGAACGACGAGGCGAGCGCCGTCTCGTAGAAACGCTTCTTCTCGCTGGACAGACGGTACGGCACGTCGGGCGCGGCGCCGTCCGTGCTCGTCTCGGGTTTGAAGACGCGAGGGTGAGGCCATTCGTACTCGTCAGTGGGAAGGCCGCGAATTCCAAGACGTACCGTATCGTCGAACCAGTGAGGGACGAGTACGCACATGGCTGTCTGCTCACGATAGTGCATCGCAGTCTCATACTTGGCGCTCCCCGGCGAGAGCGCGAAGAGGTGCGTGACGTCGCGGGTGAGTGCTGTACGCCACTGTCCGCCAAGGGATGTGATCCCGGCTGAGAGGAGCTCGAGGTCGGCTGGAGAAAGGTCTGTCGCCGTCGCTGTGATCCCCGAAAAGAGATTGGCGGGGTTGGGAGAATAGTGCTCGGCCGCCTGCTGTTTACCCAGAACAAACGAGCGCTCTGCCCATGTAGGTATAACTTGCTGAACTTTGTCCTTGTTGGGTATCCTCTCGAGGACGTCGTCTGAGGGCGGTGTGAGGGTGATGAAGTGGGTCAATAAGGGGTCATCGAGTGGCACGTCGGATGCTCCTTCGTCGTCGAGGATCTGTTTCAGCTGATCTCGAAGGCAGCTGGGGATGCTGATCGAAGTATAGTAAAAGACACCGGCGAAGATGGACGGAGCCATGAGAGGAACGTTGGGAACGTTGAGCGAGGGGCGACGAACGCGTACACGAGACGCGTGACCCGTCGCGCCGCCGTCACGCAGGTCACACGTCTCCTGCGCTGTCTGCGACGCCTGCGACGATGGTGCTTAGCATGGCTAGGCGTTCTTCACACCCTGCAGTGCACTCGCCCTATTTCCCGGCGCCGCCTTTTCGTCGTCGACGCAAAAAGTCTCCCAAAATTCTGTACACTTCTCCTTATTTCTCGCCTGAACGTGTGCAAAGGTGTTCCGCTGGCAGCGGTACGCCTGCGGAAGGCCCCCACAACGAATACCAGTCCCTTCTCGAACTCTCTGGGTTCAAGTACTACAGCCAGGACTTCCTTGCGGCCTTTCAGGAGCTGTACTTTGCAAAGCCCATACTTATCCAAGGTAGGTGACGGCGTCTTCTCGATCGTTCAGCGCTGAGTTCCTCATCAGATCATGTTGCTCACGACCCGTGGAAATTCTTGCGCGCTGTCATGTTACTCAACAGGCCAAGGGGTGCGAAGACTGTCCCGGTGTTCTTCAATCTCATGAAACCACAGGATTTCGCCGTAGGTTGGGAGAGTTTATTCTGCTTCCATGCTGCACGACTTACCTTCTCCAGCACCGCAGGATGCAGTGGAGGAAATTATCAGGACCCTCGGACTGAGTAATATGTGCTCAGAGCGGCTGATCACCTTGTCTCGAATGTAGATAAATGATCCTCCCAGGCCCGACCTCCTGCGCAAATGGAGGTGCAAGACAAACGTGTACAGCTCCATAGTTGCCGACAGTGTCCAGAATGTGGTCGCTGAAGAGACAGGTTATAAGCGGACACCTGCGTCACACCTTCCTGGATGCGGTCCATACGCGCTCGACTCATGGCGCATCTTCTGTGCCGGCAACGAGGAATGGATGTCTGTGCTGCCGAAGGACAAGGAGTTGAAGAAGTTTCTTGTGAGTTCTCTTTCCCTGTGTGATTGTTCTTTTTATAAACGAAAGCCACCGTTTCGAAGTGCTGGAAATGGGCATACGAGGAGTTTCACCAGTGGGATCCTGAACTCGGCCTCGGCAATGTGATCACACTGGATTATGTTCGGGATCCGACAGTGCTGTTGCCGAGTGAGTAGTATTATATATATTAAACCTCATACTGGGCACATTTCGGCGGCAGCCCTGCCACTATTCACTATGCTATCTGTCTTTTCCATTATTTCTCGCATGTCGTAATGCTTTCGTGTAACATATATTGTCGTAATGTACATCAATTACTCATACACATCCTACATATGAAAACATCAAAGTGAAGGAGCATATGCAATATTGAGAATGAGAGCATAGGAATGCAGCAATATTAACAACAACCTTCCATGTTCAGGCCCTCCTGACACCGGAAACGGGGACTAATATCTAAGTTCCTTACATTGTGGGAACATCCGGCCTAACATTGTACATGTATGACGGCCCGTATGTAGCTCCGACGGTCGAAAATATGTTTACAATGTAAGGCCTGATGTCTGGGCATGCGATACCCAAATCACACATTGATAATGTGTGATATTGCGACATATACAATGTTCGCAAATGGCTATGAGGCCTCCTAGGCCGGCCGTAGGGTCGCAGAGGGCGGGGGACCCCAACCCTAGGATGGGGGTTCGCTGAGCCGAGGGCTAGGGGTGCATGTCCGCTTTAGGAAGGAGGCCATTGCCGAACCCTATGGACAGTGCCGTAGGGCATGTGCGTCATCATTAGCGCTGGTGAGGGGCCTCTGACCTGCGTGGCCGTCGTGGACGGCCATGCACGGAGAGGCTCCACTGGCTGCATAGGCCAGGTGGCACAGAAGGTAAACCACGCTGGGCACGAGTGGCCGTCCTGGACGGCCGTTCGAGGTGCATGAACTGCCAGTACTGAGTGGAACCTGAGCCAAGGCTAGGGGTATGTGTCTGCTTTGGGAAGGAGGCTGTTGCCGAACACTACGAAAGGTGCTGTTGGCACGTGTACCATCACTAGCGCTGGTGAGTCGCCACTGTCCTGCACGGCCGTCGTGGACGGCCATGCATGGTGGTGGTGGTGTATTACCGACATGGGTCCCAGTTAGGAATGCTAGGCTGCCACTGTAGTAAGCATATGATAAAGTAGACCTGTAGTAATGTACTACGCAATCATGATATGTATTATTACAGCGACACATCCATAACCAATGCCACTTCAAAAGCCTCATACTCCTCAACCATAGCTCGCGGCCAAAAGAGGCTCAGATGGCTGCATAGGCCAGGTGGCACAGTCAGCAAAGCACAGCGGCTGTGAGTGGCCGTCCTGAACGGCCATCTGCTATAGTGGCCACCAGGGGGACAGACCACAAGTGGCAGTCCAGGAAGGCCTATCTATAGGCCGCAGGCCTAACGCTACGTTAGGCCGCCCGCCTTTCGGCCTCGACATCCCTTCCTTCCTCCCTCGTTTTCGGTCCCTCGGCTATCTCAAAAGAACGCCCGATATCGAATCTACCCACCACCCGAAGATGGGATTCGACCGAGCTCTCGGTCGCCGTGGCCACCGGCGGCAATCAGCCGACTTTCCCACCGCGCGCGTTTTCCACTTCTCGATTTTTTCCCATCCCCTTCGTCTACCCCTGGCCTCATATTGTATATGGTCCGACAGCCTGACCTTCTGGCTTCAAGGGGCCACCGAGTTCGAGAGGGATGTCGCACTCTGGTCAAAGATTTCGCCGGGATAAGTGGCGGGGCGCGCGCCAGCGCGCCCATCGTGAGTTCTCTCCCTTCGTTTCCGACGTTGCGCTCACTCAAATCCCTCGAACGCGATACAGTCCGGTAGACGAAGGTCGTGGCTACAAGACGACACCCCGCTCGGGAAGAATGGCCTCGTCGTTGTGAAGATGTAGGGGAGGGAAGTGGAAGGGCGCGCACTAGTGCGAACGAGGTAAGCTCACCCACAACCAAAACCCTTCCATTCGCCCATCGTGGGGGCTCGAAACTGCTGCGAACCGTACAACGGGTCGTAGGCGGCTTGTTTCTGTCTGTCTCCGTGGTTTCTGGTCCAACGCAGCGCGTCACCATCGTGCTTCCGTGGCGACATCTCTACCTCCACCTCAGCTTGAGGCTCGCGGTCCCCTGCGCCATCGCGAAACTGCTGCGAACCATACAACGGGTCGTAGGCAGCTTGTTTCTGTCTGTCTGCGTGGTTTCTGGTCCAACGCAGCGCGTCACCGTCGTGTTTCTGTGGCGACACCTCTACCTCCACCTCAGCCTGAGGCTCGCGGTCGCCTGCGTCATCGCTCAGAAATGTTCGAGCGCGCATTCCTTCTGGAGGGTTCGAGAGGGCCCAGGTGAGTCAAACAAACAGTTTTTGTTTGTTTTTCAGCCGTGCTAATCTTTTATAGCGCAGTCATCATCGTGCGGGCCACCGCAGTGCAACAGCGGCTCGCAGCCACCTCCTCGCAGTCGCCAGGGCATCGCGAGGCTTCGCGAAGCCCCACCCCGCCTGGCTGCACTGTTGCCCGACCCTCGTCGATGCACGCCAGCCCACCGCGGTGAAGGATGGTGCTGCGGTCGTCGCACCGGCCACTGAGGTGCAACGATGGCACGAAGCCCCCGCCACATGTTTGTCACGGCTCCGCGAACCACCAGCCTACCTCTTGGAACTCACCGCCAATGCTCCTTGACCCGCAGAGGGCCTCCGCAATGAACGACCACACCCCGGTCATCGTGTCGGCCACCGCGGTGCCACAATGGCACCCAGCTCCCTCTTCACGGTCTCCAGCTCTGTCCGAAGGCCCGCGTCACCTTCCAGCACCCCCATCCTACCCTCTTCGATGCGCGTTTGCGCTCCATGGCAAACGACTGCACCCCGGACCACCCCTGCAACATTGAGTGTCCGTCGCTCGACCAGAACCTCTCTCGCGCACTCAAACGCAACATGTTTGAACGCGCGTTTGCCCAGCACTGCTCGGGCAGTGTAGGTGAGTAAAAACAAAAACTTTCGGATTTTTTTACGGTGCTAAACCACTTCCACCCTACGTGAAGCCCGCCGTCCGCAAACGACCCATCGCCATCCCGCTCTCGTCGACGCTGCCCTCGCGTTCGCCCTCTGCGGCGAACAACTGCACGTCGGTCATCTCACCGGCCACCGCAGTGCAACAACGGCGCCCGGCTCCCTCCTCGCGGTCTCCAGCGCCCGATGAAGGTTCGCGTCACCTCCCAGCACCCTCACCCTATGCTCGTCGACGCATTTTCGCCCTGTGCGGTGAACGACCGTGCCCCGGACCTCCCCTCGAACATACAGTGCCAGTGCCCGGCGATACAGGTGAGTAAAAATATATATATTTTCGACTTTTTTTACCTGTGCTAACAACCTGTAGAAGATGCGAGCCCACGCAGGGAACACGGAACAACGACCAGCCTCCCCACTCCTCTCGAATGCCGCTGTCTCAGTCCCCTCGAACCCCGCGGACTCTGCACAACGCTCCGCCGTCCTCATCCGCGTGACCCAGCCACACGCGGGGAATGCGCAGCAATAGCGTGCGTGCACGCTAGGTCGACGGGCATGCAAGTTCACCGTCACAGTCCCCTCGAATGCCGCTGTGTCTGCACAACGCACCGTTGTTCTCGTTCGCACATTGCAAGTATATACACGGAACCTCACTACACAGCGCTCACACACCATTTCCACTCTCCCGCCCGCGGTCCATGTCATGTAGTACTATCCGTAGTACACAGCAGCCAATACATCATGTAATATCCTCGCGGCTGTGAAACGCTATCAGCCTGCTCGACGCCCGCAGGATTTGCCTATCTATAGGCCGCAGGCCTAACGCTACGTTAGGCCGCCCGACTTTCCGCCCCTGTATCCCTTCCTTCCTCCCTCATTTCGGTCCCTCGGCTATCTCAAAAGATCGCCCGACATCGAATCTACCAACTACCCGAAGATACAGTTCGACGGAGATCTGGGTCGCCGTGGCCACCGGCGGCAATCCGCCGACTTTCCCACCTCGCGCGTCTTCGACTGCTCGATTTTTTCTCGTCCTCACCCTCTACCCCTGGCCTCATATTGTATATCGTCCGATAGCCTGGCCATCTGGCTTCAAGATACTACCGATTTGGGGAGGGGTTCAAGAGTTTGGTCGACGATACAGCCGGGCGAAGTGGCGGGGTGCGCGCCGGCGCGCCCTTGGTGAGTTCTCTCCCTTCGTTTCCGATGTTGCGCACACTCAAATCCCTCGAACGCGGTAGGGTCCGGTAGACGAAGGTCGTGGCTACAAGGTGCCACCCTGCTCGAGAAGAACGGCCTCGTCATTGTGAAGATACAGGCGAGGGAAGTGGGCGGGCACGCACCAGCGCGAACGAGGTAAGCTCACCCACACTCAATGCTCTTCCATTCGCCCATCGAGGGGGCTCGAAGCTGCTTGCGAATCGTACAACGGGTCGTAGGCAGCTCATTTCTGCCTGCCTGTCTGATTTCTCGTCCAACGCAGCACGTCAGTGTCGCGTTTCTCGAGCGACACGACCTCTACCCCTCGCGGTCCCCTGCACCATCGAAGGCGAACGTTCGACCGCGCGTTCACTATGGAGGGTTGTAGGGGGCCGATGTGAGTAAAGAAACATTTTTTTTGTTTTTCAGCCGTGCTAACATTTTGCCCACGTCGTTGTCACGCCAGCCACCGCGGCGTGCAGCCCCCTCCTCGCGGTCCCCTCGGCCCCGCGAAGCCTCACTATCTCCCTGCACCTTCCGTCGACCCTCTTCCTTTCGCGTAGGCCCGCCACGATGAACGACGGTGCCCCGGTCGTCACACTGGCCTCCACCCTCCGCCTTGTGCTCCCCCAGGCCGTCGAACGCAAACGTTCGGAGGCACGTTTGTTTCCGGAGGTCAAAGGGCATGCCAGGTAAGTAACAAAAGGTTTTTTGTCCCTATCCCACTGTGCTAACATTTCGCAGTCTGATCGTTGTCGCACCGGCCACCGCGATGCCACAACGGCGCCCGGCGCCCTCTTCGCAGTCTCCAGCTCCCTCCGAAGGCCCGCGTCACCTTCCAGCACTCCCATTCTACCCTTTTCGATGCGCGTTTGCCTTCCGTGGCGAACGACTGCACCCCGGACCTCCCCTGCAACATCGAGCGCCGGTCGCTCGACCAGGACCTCCCTCGCACACTCAAACACAAGTTTGCCCAGCACTGCTCGGGCAGTGTAGGTGAGTAAAACAAATATTTTTTCGGTTTTTTTAACGGTGCTAACAACCTTCACCCACTTGAAGCCTGCCGTCCGCGAACGACCCACCGCCGTCCCGCTCTCGTCGACGCTGCCTCGCGTTCGCCCTCTGCAGCGAACAACCGCACCTCGATCATCTCACCAGTCACCGCGGTGCAACGACTGCGCCCGGCTCCCCCCTCGCAGTCTCCAGGCCCCGACGCTGGCTCGCGTCACCTCCCAGGACCATCCCCCGATCCTCTTCGATCTGTGGAGGCCCTCCGCAGTAAACGACGGCACTGCGGTCCTCATGCCGGCCACCGCGGTCCAACGACCATGCCGACCTCGCTCCTCGCGGTCTCCAGGCCCCGACGCTGGCCCGCTAATAAGCATAACGGGCCCGCGACTAAGCATAACGGCCTTGCGACTAAGCATAACGGCCCGCGACTAAGCATAGCGGCCGCCCCTCAGCGTAACGGCTCCGCGATTAAGCATAACGGCCAGCGGGGCGTGGGAAAGCCGTCGCCCAACAAGCGCCGGTTGGACTTAGCTTCGCGCTCCTCCTGCTTGGCTCACCCCCGCGACACCCTTCCACAACACCGAGGAGGCTCTCCTCGGCGTTGCTCTGATTTTATTTCCTCTTCTCCTGCTTCTGTCCCTCGCCCTTCCTAGTTTGCTCTCGAACGCGGCGCGTCAGCACCACGTTCCCTTGGCGACACCTCCAACCTCCACCTCGCGCTCCCCCACGTCGTCGAACGCAAACGTTCGGCGGCGCGTTCGTTCTAGGAGGTCGAAGGGCACCCCCAGTTGAGTCGAAAGTTTTTTTCATATCCCTACACTACAATGCTAATTTTGTGCAGCCTCCTCGTTGTTGCACCGGCCACTGCGGTGCGACGATGCCGCCCCCCCCCCCCCCCGTACTCCCGCACTCCCCTCCCACCTCGGTCCCCCATCCTCCTCGTTCGCGCAGGGAGCCAACACGCGGACAGCCAGGCGACACCGCGCAGCTGCACGAGGTTGACGGCCTCGCGCTCGCACTCCCACACTCCCCTCACACGTCCACCCTCCACCCTTTTCGTTCTCGTGGGGAGCCGACACGCGTACGGCGAAGCGACATCGCGCGGCTGCGCGAGGTCGACAGACCTGCACTCGCACCGCACCGCCGCCTCGCACTCCCCTCGCCCCTCGCCCCTCCATTCTCCAACCTCCTCGTTCACGAAGGAAGCCGACACGCGGACGGCAAGGCGACACCGCGCGGCTGCGCGAGGTCGACGGCCCTGCCCTCGCACTCTCACACTCACCTCACACCCATCCAGCCTTCTCGTTCGCGCGGGGAGCCGACACGCGGACAGCGAGGCGACACCGCGCGACTGCGCGAGATCGACGGTCTCACCATCGCACCGCCGCCTCGCACTCCCCTGGCCCCTCGCTCCTGCGCATTTGTGCTCCATGGCGAACGACTGTGCCCTGGACCTCCCCTGCAACATCGAGCGCCGGTCGCTCGACCAGGACCTCCCTCGCGCACTCAAACGCAACGCGTTTGAACCCGAGTTTGCCCAGCACTGCTCGGGCAGTGTAGGTGAGTAAAATAAGTATTTTTTTCGGTTTTTTTAACATTGCTAACGACCTTCACCCCACTTGAAGCCCGCCGTCTGCAAACGATCCACTGCTGTCCTCGTCCGTGCGAGCAGGCCACCACCGCCGTCCCGCTCTTGTCGATGCAACCGTCCTCGTCCAGGCAAGCAGGCCGCGCGCACCCAGCAAGAGCATACGGGAGCGCGAGGTCGACGCGGAGGCACCACCGCCGTCCCGCTCTCGTCGACGCCACCGTCCCCTTTCGCGCGAGTCGTCCACGCACGCACCAACGCCGTCGCACTCCCCGCCAATGCCGCCGTCCCATCCGCGTCAGCTGGCCACGCACGCGGTGTGCGCAGCAACACCCCGCCGGCACGCGTGGTCGACGGAGATGCACCACGGCCCACCAGTTCACCTCGACGCCGCCGTCCCCATCCGCGCGAGCTGGCGATGCACGCCGAGTGCCCTGCAAGAGCATCCCAGCGTGCGATGTCGACGCGCACGCACGGCCTCGACTCCTGCTCGCGCGGAGCCGCGAGCACGACTGCGCCACCGCCATCTTTCTCCATATGTAGTCGTATGGCGCACGCAGTAGACAGGGAAAAAATATATATATTACTTCATACGGAGCAAAAGTCAGTGCTACAGCAGATGTGGCCGCGAGGGATAGCATATATAGAGAAAATTACACTCCGCAGCAGGTTACTGTGCCAGAAGCCGCGGAGACTACAAGGACCAAGAAGATCAAGCAAAGATTGGAAAGGGAAGGGAAAGGCGACAGATGAGGTAACCGCGAATGAGGACTGCGATGCGACCCCGCCTCAATCTCTCCGACCTCTGATCGCTTCCGATCATCCAACGCCATGGACGTGGACCGGCCGCCTACCTCTTCGCAAGGTCAAGAACATTCTAACCCTCCCATCCCCGACACCCCTCTGTCTCCCACTTCCTCTAGCCACCTCACAACAAGCGCCGGTCGGACTTAGACTGGCGCTGCGGCCGCCTCCCTCACCGATGTGACACCCATCAACGACGCCGAGGAGACACACTCTCCTCGGTGTCGTTCTGCTTTTCTTTTTGATTCTCTTGCTTGTTTTGCCCCTGCTTTCTGGTTTCTACCGAGACATGGCGCGCCAGTGCCATGTCTCCTTAGCGACACCTCCACCCTCCACCTCGCGCTTCCCCAGGCAGTCGAACGCGAACGTTCGACGATGCATCTGTTTGCGGAGGTCGAAGAGCGCGGTCCAGGTGAGTAAACAAAAAATCTTTCGTCTCTATCGCACCGTGCTAACCGAGTGCTGACCTTTTGCAGCCGCATCGTTGTCGCTCCGGGCACCGCGGTGCAACAGTGGCGCGCTGCACCCCCCCTCGAGGTCGCAGAGACCCCTCGCAGGCCCACCGCCCCTCTCCGCCCCCTTCCTCGACCCTCTCCCGATCTCGCTCGACGCGCGCAGGCCCATCGCAGCCAACGACGCCCCTGTGTCATCACACCGGCCGCTGCGGTGAAACGACGGCGCACCGCCGCCACCTCACGGTCTGCAATGCCTTGCGAAGGCCCAGCCCACTTCCCCGCACCCTCTCCCGACCATCCGCGATGCGCGCAGGCCCACGATGGTGAACGACGCCACTCGCGTCGCCACACTGGCTACCGCGGTGCGACGACGGCACGAACCCCCCCAGCCCACGATCTGCATGGCCCCGCGAAGGCCCGGCCCACCTCTGCCCGTCGTCCCTGCACCCTCCCCGATACACGCAGGCCCACGGTGGTGAACGACACCGCCCGCATTGTCGCGCCGGCCATCACGGTGCGACGATGGCGTGCAGCCCCGACCACGCGGTCCCCAAGGCCCCGCGAGGCTCCGCGCAGCCTCTCACCACCTCCTCGCACCCTCCCTCAACCCTCTTCGACGCGCGCAGGCCCACAGCAGCGAACGACGGAACAGCGATCATCGCGCCGGCCACCGCGGTGCCGCAATGGCGCCAAGCTCCCTCCTGGCGGTCTCCAGCCACCGGCGAAAGCCCGCGTCACCTCCCAGCACCGTCACCCAACCTTCCTCGACCCGCGATCGCCGTATGCGGTGAAAGATCGCGCCTTGATCATGACGCGGGCCACCACGGTGCAACGACCGCGCCCAGGTCCCTCCTCGCGGTCTGCAGGCCCCGATGCTGGACCCCATCACCTCAGCCAACCTTCCTCGACCACGTTCGCCATCCACGGCGAACGATCGCGCTCCGGTCGTCAGGCTGGCCGCTGCAGTGGAATGACCGCGCTGACCGCCCTCCTCGCAGTCTCCAGGCCCCGATGCTGGCCCGCATCACCTTCCAGAACCCTCATCCTACCCTCTTCGACGCGCGTTCACCCTCCGTGGTGAACGACTGCCCTCCGGACCTCCCCTGCAACATCGAGCGCCGGTCGCTCGACCAGGACCTCCCTCGCACACTCAAACGCAACGCGTTTGAATGCAAGTTTGCCCAGCACTGCTCGGGCAGTGTAGGTGAGTAAGACAAATATTTTTTCGGCTTTTTTAACGGTGCTAACAACTTTCACCCACTTGAAGCCCGCCGTCCTCGTCCGCACGAGCAAGCCACCACCGCCGTCCTGCTCTTGTCGACGTCACCGTCCTCGTCCTGGCGCTCCCCCAGGCCGTCGAACGCCACCATTCGGCGGCACGTTTGCTTTCGGAGGTCGAAGGGCATTCTAGGTGAGTCCAAAAAAAGCCTTCTGTCCCTATCCCGCGGTGCTAACATTTTGCAGCCACGTCTTTGTCGCGCCAGCCACCGCGGTGCGACAGCGGCATGCAGCCTCGTCCTCGCGGTCGCGGAGGCCCTGCGAAGCCTCACCACACCCGACTCCACCTCCCTGCACCCTTCGTCGACCCTCCTCTTCGCGCGCAGGTCCACCACGGTGAATGACGGCTCCCCGGTCGTCGCACCGGCCTCCACCCTCCGCCTCGCTCTTCCAGGACATCGAACGTGACTGTTCCGCGGCACGTCGGTTTTCGGAGGACGAAGGGCATTCCAGGTGAGTCCAAAAAAAACCTTCTGTCCCTATTCCGAGCTGCTAACATTTTGCAGCCGCGTCGTTGTCGCGCCGGCCACCTAGGTGCAACAGCGGCGCGGCCTTCCCCACCCACCATCTCAGCGCGTCCTCTCGATCTTGCAGGGTCCATGTCGACGACAGACGTCATCCCGTGCGCCAACCGCTGGTGCAGCTTTGCAACGCTGTAAGTATTTTCCCCTTGCGCAGACCCGTTGTTGGCGCGGGATCGGCCTAGGGCCGAGTCGCATTATCTGACTTTCGAGATACAGATGCTGTTCCCCTGGTGCCCTGATTCTCGACAACCGTCTCCGCGCGACACGCTCCCCATTGAGTTTGAAGACAAGCACCACATCCACGCTCACGACCATTTCCGACGGCGCGCAGATGCAGGTTGACTTGAATCTTCATCTCCGTCCTGCGCTCCGACGGTGCAGATGGAGATGGTGCGTACACGGCGGATTCACGCCCGTGCACATTATGCACAAGGGCGGGCACAGACACCGCTCCTTCCTCCGCGGCGTGCACTTCGCTCTGATGGCACTTGGACCCTGGGAAGGCCGTGCTGTCGCTTTCGTTCTCGGTGCGTGTCGTTTCCTCTCTGTGTGTACATTCGGACGTACTGACACTTGGTGTTCTAGCAGGTTGCGAGATCGGTGCGTTGCGCCTCCGCATAACGCTGGCGTCATCCGCGTCCACGCTATCAATGTGCCTCGCGCTCGGAGAGCCCGACGAAGTCGATGTGCTTCTGGAGACGCACGCTGAAGTTGTTATACAGCCGCAGTAAATAAGAAGGCACGGGTCGCGATCTCGGAGAAGACCCACGTATGTGTGCTAGTATTATATCTACTGTACAAAGTGCGGCCGCGCTTGGGGCTCAAGATACGGCCGAAAAAATATAGTTGTTTCAAGTAGCACTGCAGAGTGAACACACACGGACGGGGACTGCACATCGACGGCGGGAGACTTTGAATACACGAGAAGACGTGTCACGCAACGCGATCTAAGTTTTTTCGTGCTGGCTCTTGTTGGATTCTGCTCACTGCCAGTCCCATTCTCCTTTGTCCTCTACTCTCTCCCCGGTCCTTCCGCTACAACGTCCAACCCGCACTCCGCCGTCGTCCAAGCAGTCGCGGTCGCCATGACGCCCGCGCGCAAGCTACACGCTCGAACGTAGTTCGGCGCGCGTGCGCGTCGTTGTCACTGGGCGAAAGGGTGGCGGGCTCTGAGCGAGGCCGTGTAGGTATGTACGCGATTCTCATCTGTTGCGCCGATGGCAAGCAGCCGCTACGTTGAGGGCAGCTGGCGCGTCGTGCCGGACGGCGAGACTGACGGCCTGGTAAGTCTCCGCGCGTTTCTACGTGTTTTCTCTGATTTGTGTTGATGCACCGCACTGAATATTCTTGCAGTATCCGTGCAGAGCTCAGCTCCCACAGCCGAGCAGAGTCTGCTCGCGAGGCCTTGAGGCTGCCGCGTAAAAGATTGGGCGGTGCACCACGTCCTCCTCCGCCCCACGCTCCGTCTGCTTCGAAACCGGGCACGTCGACCATGTCTCGCGCAAAGCCCTCCGTCGTCCTGCCCTCCTGATCTAGCACCACAGGCGAAGTAATCGCCGTGCCCTTCGTCCGTCGGCATCGCTCAGCCGAGGAGTGTATGCGCACGGTCTCCGACTCTAGGCGAGCACGCGATGGACGGCGCATTCCCCACAGGTCGGTCAGGCAACGAGGTTTTTGTCACCCGCAGATTAGGTTAGGTTAGGTTAGGTTAGGTTAGGTTAGGTTAGGTTAGGTTAGGTTAGGTTAGGTTAGGTTAGGTTAGGTTAGGTTAGGTTAGGTTAGGTTAGGTTAGGTTAGGTTAGGTTAGGTTAGGTTAGGTTAGGTTAGGTTAGGTTAGGTTAGGTTAGGTT